ATTTTTGTAATATGTTTTCTAGAACGTTGGAGAAAACCTTGCGAGATGGCGTATACCAACAGCTAAAAAAATTTCCTTCAAAAAATATCTATGACTAACCAAAATAAAACGAAAATACAAATTTGCTAAACAGTTATTATAATTTATTTATTCTCCCGGAATATATATTACAAAATATTTCGCTCACAGTTAGTGACCCAATCAAACCAGCTCCACCAGAAAATTGTACAATTTCGAGACACACGCCCCAATCAATTCGCCTAATATGCTCCGACGTCAAAACCCCCAACGACACTTACCTCTATCTACTGCAAGTATATGACGCAAATACGCGCATCCTAATCGGCACAGCAACCTCCCAGAATTCGGACGAGATTCAGATGTCAACTTTGCCATCGGATCATCGAGATTTGATGCTTTTTGTCAGAACTATAGATGAAGATTCGCGCGCAAGCGATGCCAATATTATTTACGCTCCCGCAGTCCAAATTACAACTGCTGTCGGTAAGACAATTTTGGAATTACCTTGTGGTGGTGGTGGTGCTTTTGGCTTCTTTTAGAGTTTGACCCCTTTGGTTAAAACTAGCTACTCATTAACTATAATAATGTATTATCTAACTATAAATTTAAGTCATACAGGAGGTTAATCACATGCCATATATGCTTCCCAAGAATTTATTATATACCCATGGTAAGTGCAAAGTATTCCTGGGCACTGCAAAATGCAATGCATCCGGAACCACTAATACCATAGAAGAGACGAAAACAACAATTCAAATAACGATTAGACGTGAAAATAGTATCATTTTACTGAATGGGAATAGTATATTATTCAACAATGGCGGTAAACCACAAGTTTATTGGACACGAGCGAAGCGCAGCGGAGACTTGCAGACTAAACAAAGCATCTCTTGTACCAACTCCATTCATGAAGCCAAACTGCGTTTCCGCTACTTTTTCTTCGCATATTGTGTATACTCTTCGGTGAATTATCTTAAGAAATAGTTTCAGCGAGTGACTCATCAAGCTGATGAATCTATAGTCACCACACGTTTTGGCTCTCCGTTTTGTTGCTATCATTATGAATTCAGAGATAAGCCATTCTCTGGAGATGTTTTCTTTGTCATAGATATAGTCAAAAATTTTCGTTAGTAGTTCTACAGATTTTTCATCAAGAAGTTTGAAAAATTATAATTGTATTCCGTCTTTTCTTAGCTTAATGCGGCCCTAGTTAGTATTTTGGGGCCAGTTTCTGCTTGGGACATTGGTTCTATTGTGGAATACATTTTTTATATATTTTTCCCATGTTTCTTTAATGTCTTTTCGGACAAAAATCAATTCTCCGCTTCCGTTAAATAGCTTAGGTTTTTTTCTTATACATTCCAGTTATTTCTTTCACTTTCTTGTGTACGTTGAATTCATCAAATTTACTTTGTAGCTCTTCAATTTCTTGACATTTTCCTTCTATTTCTTTTTGTTTCGCTTGTCTGATCTTTCTTTGTATTAGTCTGTTGAGTAATGTTGTAATGTCGTTCTTGTGTTTTCTTCTTTCTTCCATAAGTTGTAGGATTTCTTCTGTTATCCAAGATTTTCTGTTGTCATTGTCGTTTTTGAGTAGTTCTTTTCTGACATTTTCCACCGTTTTGTTTAGTGCCTGGATTTTCTGATTCGGGTCATTAAAAACTTCCTTTATCTGGGTGCACTTCTCATTAAGAATTTGTATTACCTGATTTCGTATGTTATTGTCTTTGATTTTTTTTTATGTCGAATTTTACAGGGCATCGTGTACTCTCTTTAGTTTAGTTTTACAGTCTCCTATTAGGAGGTTGTGATCGGATTGTATATCGACGCCGAGATATGTTTTCACACTCGTAAAACTATTTCTGTGTCTGTGATTTACCAGGATGTAATCGATCTGATTTCTTATGATGACCTCCTTTTCTTATCTCTGGGTGATTTCCACGTATATATTCGTCTTGGTGGTAGTTTATAGAATTTCTTTAGTATAACTAGGTTGTATTCGGCTGTGAATATACTGAGAGTTTCTCCTCGGCCATTCCTATCTCCAAGTCCGTAAGGGACAATGTGTCCGCCCGTTCTTCCTCTGGCTACTTTAGCGTTAAAGTCTCCCATTAGTATTAGGAGTTCGTGTTTCGGCAACTTTCTTATCAAGTCGTTAATCTTGGTATAAAATTCTTGCACTTCTTCATCACTGTGCTCTGTGGTGGGTGCATAAACTTGAATTATGTTAGTATTCACAGGCGAAATATTTACTTAAAGAAGCATAATCCTTTCATTCACAGGTATAAAATTGATAACGTGTTTAGCCACTTTTTTTTGTATGATTATTCCTATACCATGCTCGTACCTTGCATCCGTTGTTCCGTAGTATGTCGCAGTAACTCGCATCAGGCCATCTCATCTCACTGACGCCCATTATTTCTATTTTAGTCGATCCATTTCTTTCAGAGCACATTGAATTTTTCTGGTTTGAGCCACGGTCTTAACATTCCAAACATATATTCTCCTAGGTTGCCTTATTTCTCATTCTTCTGTTCAAACCTGCTTCCCCCAGAAATCCGATTGGGGAGCTTGAAACTCTGGATTGTAGTAAAATCCATCAATTATATTCCCAAAAAGGTATGAACCATCGAATATTCCGGAATTTCTTAAATGACATTGACGCAGAATATGAAGAAGTCTTTTTCTGAAGTAAGATTTTAATAGTAGATCAGTAGACCAGACCAATAATAGACCAGAATTATCGAATTTTAAGTGGATAAGCGAGTTAGCTTTTTTTATGGACTTTACTACTTAAAACGGCAAAAAGTGTCCTTCGAATATTTTTATTAAGTAACTAAAAATACTGGATGAAAATTTTCGTTATCGGTTTCAAGATTTTTGACTAAAGTTTTTTTGCAATCTCACAATATAAATAATTTTCATGAAAATAATTTAATTACGTTTTATTCAAATCTACCAGAAAATAAATTTCACAATTTAAAAAATTTTGCAAAATCAAATTTTTATTTTTTCAAACACATATTTATGCCAACAAACATTTCATAAAATCAAAATATAGAACGCGCTTGACAGATGAAAATTTACAAAACTTGATGATCTCAGTATCCCAAACACAACCAGACCTAAATGAATTAGCAAACCGTGTTCACGAACAAAAGGCGCATTGAATTTTAATGAATGAATAAAATGAAAGATAAACTATTTTCCTTAATATTTTGTAAATTTTATATTTACATATATTCTATATTAGAATTCTAAAATTTTTGTTAACTGACATTATTGTTATTATGTCAATAAAAAAATATTTTTTCTATATTTATATATAAAAGCACTACGCCGTCCGAAATAGGTTACAACCCTTGCTCTAAGGGAAATAAATGTTAAACAAAATATGTTTATTAACGTCAAATAGGTACAAATTATATACAAATAATTACAATACGTTTATAAAAAATAAATTTTTCGTCAAATGAAACTTACATGTTTACAATCAAAAAGTATATACACTGATGACAAATGATGAAAAATTTAAAAGTTGTAGACAACAACTTTCAAAAAAATTAATGTATTTTTCTTTCGGCAAGACCTCTTCCCATCATTAAAATTCTTACATCGGTCGGTGCGTATTTTTAAAGTTTAATTTTATAGAGGGTCGTGTTATATACACAAGGAATAATGGAGCTCGTGTTGCATTTCCTCTTTTTGCGGGTCTGCCAATGTAGTTAACCTCAAACCAATTTATTAGTTCTTGAAGTTCACCAGGTACCTCTCCAAATAATAAATCAGCAGTGTCATCCAGATGTTCAGGTGGAATAAAAATAAAAGTTAAATCATTTTTGCCTTCGACATAAAGTCGGCATCACTGTTATACCATTGCGTCAATCCCACAGTTTAAATTTGTTTCGCACATTTTGCGACAAGTGAAAGAAACATCCACAAATTGAGGTTTCAATAACCTCTTCTTTTACTGTGTCCTTCATTTTCCATACGTATTTGTTTCAAACCCATCAGTTGAGGTCGCAAGATTAAATGGTGGAAATTTTGAAAAATAACGATTTTTATATTAAAATTACGTTCCATTACGGCCAATAAGAAATACCTCTTACTTAGGGCTAATAATAATTACAATGTTTATGAAAATCAGAAAGTGCAGTTTTCCATAATGTAGTATATATATGCAAATAAATTAAAAAAAAACAGTTGCCACTGAATTGGCGAGTGCGATGAAAGAGGGTAATCATTTTATTATTAGAAGAGCAACGTAGCTATATAATCCATTTTGGCATACTGCGTAATCTTTTGTCATAAACTATTTTTTTCATGTTATCAAGCCTCAAAAAATCTGTTGTATTCCTTAATGTATATCCTTCATTGGTCCTTCTGGCTGGATAAAACTTATCCTTATTCTTATTAGAATCATGTTATTTGGAATTTCAGGAAATAGAAATTCGCGAAATACAAAAATAAGCAATGGTAGAGTGGGTTATATATTGAACATATTTCCGGTCTACCAGAGAAATTATTATTAAAAATGCATTTGTCTTTTCAACTTTTAATAATCTAGAATACTTTCACGTAAAGATGCACCGCGAAAAATTCAAAACAAGTGCTGAAAACCCGAAACCTGATTTGATCGATTTATGCATCGTCGTAAAATAAAAATCGACATTCACAATTTTATCTTATACTATTATTAAGATTTTGAAAAAGTTACAGTTTTTGTGTGCCGTAATAGTATATTCTCTACTATTCTAAAATATGCAATTATATATATGCAGATGCGAGGAAAGAGTCACTTTAAAACGTCAGCCCTATTAAATTGGTTCTCAACAGTGTTGAATGCGACATTTCAAAGTAACACTTTGCGTTCGCTGATCAGTTCATAATTTTTTATTTTATTGTATATATATATATATATATATAATATATATATAAATTTTCATAACAGAATGTTTTTTATTGTTACCCCACTTCAGCTTCAACACCTGTTCTTCTCCAAATCACGCCCTTGCTCGGAGCCGTCATAGGAGTAGTTGCTGCTCTGATATTGGTTGCAATTATCATCGTCATTGTCATAAGGCTTAAAGGTGGAGGTGACAGAGACGATAAGGATTATGACGACGGCGGTTTGTCTTCGTCGGGCAGAAGATGTGTGGCCGGGAACAACAGCGATAAAGTAAGCCCAAGAATTGAGCTGAAGTGGCTTTTACTTGATGAAAATCCATTTAACAAAATAATTAAGAACTAAAAGTTCAAATTTTCACGAAATTATATATATTCACTTGACAATTGTTTCGACAACAATGTAATATTTACAAACTACCTGCTACTATATATACCGAAAAATGACAATAAAACCTTAATTAATGTTGTAAGAATTTAAGTTTAATAATGGACAAACATTTAAATCTAATTGATCGTTAAGCAATACATTTGAATGTCTCATTTTGTTAATCTCCATGGCTTCCAATAAATTTAATTTTCTACTTTTTGTATACTATCGTTTTTAAACGCTCTTTTTTTGTTCGTTAATGCGTTTTTTGAAGGATCTACCTGTTTGTCCCATATAAATTTTAGGACATGATCCGCATTTCAACCTGTAGATACCTGATTTTTGAGACTTCGTTTTATTGTTTTTTAAAAATTTTCCTATTGTGTTGTTTGATTTGCCTTTTATTTATAATTTTATCAATAATGGACGGATTGTAGTCAGTGCAATTTGTTTAATGATATTTCTTTTTTTCTATGTTCTTTGTCGTAATTTTCTGTTGAGAGTGGCGTATTAAGAAGTCAAAGAGTGAAATGCAGCCATTTTGTGTGTAAGGGTGACTGTGTCCGTGTGTGAAGGTTTTTCGTAAATAGAAAAATCTAATTTGTTTTGCGTTTTCGTAATAGTTAGGTCTACAAAATTAATAGAGTTATCCTGTTCAATCTCGATAGTGAAACTTATACGATTATGTAATGAGGTAATGTAATTTAAAAAATAATTCAATTGTCTGTCCGTTCCAACAAAGCAAGCAAAGACATCATCCACCTATCTATACCACCATAGAAAACTTTTACTTAAAGGATGTTCTTGTATGATATTTTCCAAGTTATCCATAAAAATGTGGTTTAAAAATATCTTTCAGAACTAACAACACAATAGGAAGATTTTTAAAAAGCAATAAAACGAAGTCTGCAAAATCTCAAAAATCAAGTGTCTACAGGTTGACAGGTCATGTCCTAAAATTTATATGGGACAAACAGGTATATCCTTCGACAAACGCATAAAGGAACATAAAAGAGCGTTTAAAACAATAGTCTAGATTTAAATTATACTACACACCTAAACACTGAAAAACACATTTTTGACGAGAATTTTGATAATTTACATACAGCCGCAAAAACTAGACAATTAAATTTATTGGAACCATGGAGATTAACAAAATGAGCCATTGAAATGTATTGCTTAACGATCAATTAGAATTAAATACCTCTCCATTATTAAACTTAAATTCTTACAACAGTATTATTTCGGTATATATAGTAGCCGGTAATTTGTAAATATTACATTTGATAAAGACACGGTATTGTCAAAACAATTTCTTGAAAATCTGAACTTTTAGTTCTTATTTATTTTCTTAAGCCAAGAACTAAATCTAACTAATTACACACAACCTCGTTGTTTATCTTACTAGAATATTTTATTACTTTACAGGCGAGCACAGAACCTTTGAACAAAACTCTAAACGACAGCGTAGACAGTTTGGAAGAGAAAAACCCTGACATTATCCCCCAAAACAATGCGGACGAAGAATACCAGGATGAGGAGCGGGCGTTCGAAAGACTAAACAACACACCGTCGTTAAGAATTTACAGCCGAATGCAAAGCCCCAATTTGAACAGTCAAGCGAAGAACGGAAGCTATGGGAAAATGGTAATTTAAAATGTGCAGCTCTAGTTAGCGAGTCAGCTAGAGAAACGTTGATTATTAGCATCTACCTGCGTTTTTGCGAACTTTCTATAAAGAAACGCAGATAAACTCAGAACTCTATAACTTTCTATTTTTCCACTAATTTCCTTTTGTCCAATGTTTTTGAACTTGTGCCCATTTATTTCTGAAAAACTAGATCTATTCGATTTTCTACGTAGGTACTTCATACCGAGGGTTATTGATATTGTTCCGTCCAGTCGGAATTGTTTTGCTTTATTTTTCTTCTTTAATTTTTGTAATTGGGGAATTTTTATATCGAGCAAATTGAAATTGGTTTTCTTTTAATTAATTGCTGCGGTTATATTCTCCGCGTATTTTGGTGACAATCTCACTGGGTATATGGCCAGAAAACTCGTATGTCGCTTGGGTGTCGTACTCCGCCGTGATCGGGACTAGTACGATTCAGGTAGAGACCAACGTGAGAGCATTTTTCCGCGTGCCAAAATTAATATCTCGAGTGCCGTCAAGTATTGCGAAATTGTGTCGGTCAACAGCCAGAGCTACATCAAGGTAGGCCAAGAAGAAAAGAGATTGTCATTTTTCGTCTCGTTACATCGATATATTATTTTTTGAATTGCCCCGTTATTTCTAGCTTCAATTAAACAAACAATTACAGTCCATTGCTCTTTCTCGTCCATTTTTTGGTCCAATCGATCACGGATATTTAATTAATCGCGAAAATAACGTGGCCAAATTTCAGTTTGCTCGTTTCAAAAGGAACAGAATTTAAAAATTTGAGATTTTTTGTGGTTCCATTCGGACAGGTACCGAACTCGCACCGATTTAACCTAGACGTCGCCGTCGCATCCAACGACCGATCGCGCTATTTTCGGCACTGCGTACTCGCAAAAAATATATTGGTATTTTCAAAATTTTTTGTCGCATAAGGAAGATTATTATTTCGGCGTTGTATATTTTTTGTTTAGCATTTAATTGTCGCATTCTTTAAATATTCTCTCAAATACTCTAATTTAAATATTAGCTCGTTAATCAAAAAATTTACACGCCACTCTACTCTCGCTCTCTCCCCCCGTCCTCCCCCGTCTCTCCGGTGTTTGCAAGCATTTATATAGGAGTGCCTATTGTCCACTACTAACTAAAATATTTTAAATTTATTTATTTATTGATTATTATTATTGTGATCATTATAGGAAATTGTAGAGTTCAGCTTGTTGTATTTTGGCTCAATTAGCTGACCGTAATTGATATAATCAATTTTTCCTTCACATTTATTCCTTTGCTTAAAAACAAAAATGAGCGATAAAAAACTTAAAGGTTTGATAGCTCAAAGAGATAATGCTTCTAGTCGTTTGAACGAAATGTTCGCAGTGGCTACTCGAGCTTTAACAGATAATGCAATTCACATGGAGTTCAAGGTTCGTTATATGCATTTACCAGCTATTCTTACGGACTTTGAAACCCAACATGCAGCTATTTTAAATATTTTGGCAACGGTTGACGATAGTGACCTGGACGAACAGAGACATATTAGGAAAGTTTTTGACGACACATATTACAAGATTGCCGCTACTTATTCCCAATTGTTTGATGGTACTAAAGTTAACCCCAGTACTCCAAGTCACATCAAGCTGCCTAAATTAGAATTGAAAAAATTTGATGGTTCATTGCGCAATTGGAAGACATTCATCGACCTTTTTAATTCTATGATTCACAATAACTTAACTCTTTCAAATGTTGAAAAGTTTACATACCTCATAAATTCCTTAGAAGGGCCCCCATTGAGCATTGTACAGTGCAATCCTTTAACTGAAGGTAACTATATCATTGCTTATAAGACATTGACTGAGCGCTATGAGAACTCTCGCTTGATTTCTGTCAGTCATTGGCGTGAAATAGAAAAGATAAAACCCCTCCAGAGTGAAACGGACGTGAAGGCCCTACAGTCATTATTAGATAAATTTTCCGAACATTTATCAGCCCTCGACTACTTAGGTCATCCTACGAAACAGTGGGACTTTGTTCTCTTTTACATGCTATTCGATCGTTTAGATTCAAGCACTGCAACTCGATTTGAGCTGGAATGCGGAAACTCTTTAGATGATATTAACTACAAAAACAAACATTTTGAAGTTTTGTTAAACTTTCTCAAAAAACAATGCGTTGCTCTAGATACTGTCTCCCACTCTTCTGATTCCAAGATAACGGAAAAGGAAAAACCCTCTAAATCGGAGAAAAGAACATTTAAATTCTGACTCCTCCAATTGTCCAGTTTGTCATAAACGAGGCCATTTAATTTATAGTTGCCCAGAGTTTTTAGAAAAGGATTCTGCTAACAGATATAAGTTGGTAAAGATCAAAAACTGGTGCACTAATTGCCTAGGTTTAAAACATACAGCATTCAAATGCTCATCTCGTGTACGTTGTGGAAAATGCTCAAAGCCACATCATACTTTATTACATCATGATAAACAGCTCAGTCCTGATCATAATCCTTCCACCAGTTCAAATAATTATATTAACAAATGTGATGCAGGAACACAGTCAGTTGCTTTAACGAACATTGATTCTAGCCCTGATGGTAGAGATTCTTCAGTTCTTCTAGCTACCGCTCAAATCAAAGTTTTAGACTCGTTTGGTTACTACAGACCTGTTCGAGCTTTACTTGATAGTGGCAGTCAAGTGAACTTTATAACATCTAAATGTTCTAATAGGCTTGGACTTACTCGAAAGCCTCTCTCACTTTTTGTAAAAGGCTTAGGAAATACCACCTCGAACGTTTCTCAAGAGGTTACTTGCACGTTTATCCCTCGAATGTCCAGTGAACCCCGAATAACCCTTGATTTTGCAGTTATACCCCAAATTTGTGATAACATGCCCAGCTCTGATTTACCGGATGTTAGCTTTAGTAAATTTTCCCACTTAGACCTTGCCGATGATAAATTTAATATTTCAAGTCCCATTGACATGCTTCTTGGTTGCGATGCATTTGGATTTCTCTTTAAGGAAGGCTCTATTTCTCACTCTATCAATGAACCTGTGGCTATTAATACACATCTGGGTTGGATTATTACAGGTCGAGTACCAACATCACCACCAACTCTCTCAAACAATACCCTTTGTTGCACCTCTACACTTTCACTCGAAGAGGTTGTTAATAAATTCTGGCATCTCGAACAGATTCCTCAAATAAACGCCCACTCCCTTGAAGATCTGGCTGCAGAAAAAATCTTCGTTGAAACTTACTCTAGAGATAATACTGGTCGATACATTCTTCATCTCCCGCTTAAATTCTCTTCTCTACCGGTATTCGATCATTCAAGAGACATTGCCTTACGTAGGTTTTATTCACTTGAACAACGACTCTTGCATAATCCAGAACTCCGCAAAGAATATAACCTATTCATGCAAGATTATTTGTATTCCGGTCATATGGAACTTGTTAAACCTTTGCCACATACTAATCATCAATACTATATACCTCACCATTGTATACTTAGACCTGAAAGTGTAACTACTAAACTTCTCGTTGTCTTTGACGCTTCGGCAAAGGCGGCTAATAACTTATCTCTTAACGACTGTTTGCTAGTTGGACCCAAACTTCAACAAGATATATTCTCTCTACTCCTCCAATTTCGCACTCACTCTGTCGTTATTACGGCCGATATAAAACAGATGTTTAGGCAGATACTGATGTCGGAACCTCACAGAGATTATCAGCGGATTGTCTTCAGATTCTCCAAAGACGATCCTATTCAAGATTATAGGCTTAATACTGTCACTTACGGAATCTCTTCCTCCCCCTTTCATGCCATTAGAACTTTAATCCAATTGGCTCAGGACCACGAAGATCAATTTCCTCGAGCTTCAAAGGTTATAAAAACCAACGTTTATGTTGATGACATATTGTCAGGTGCTGATTCTGTCGAATCAGCTTTGAGCCTTCAAAAGGAATTGATCGATCTCCTTGCCTTAGGGGGTTTTCAACTCCGGAAATGGGGTAGTAATAATCCCCTTCTTATTTCCAATTTAGATAAATCGCTCTCCCAAGTTCCGGTTTCGCTAGACAAAGAAAGTGATCAAACTATTAAAATTTTGGGTCTGCAATGGTGTCCCACCTCAGATGCATTTACTTATAAAATTGATCCCAGACAGCATGCATGTACTAAACGTAACGTACTGTCCGATTTGGCACGAATATTCGATCCTCTCGGGTTCTTAGCTCCCGTTACTGTCTTTATCAAATTACTAATTCAAAAACTATGGTCTTCTGGAATAGAATGGGACGAATTGGCTCCAGAGTCGGTGTCGTCCGCTTGGACCTTATACAAGGAGAATCTGCCACTCTTGTCCTCTTTATCTATTCCTCGAAAGGTTACCTTCGATGACGTGAAATTCTGCGAATTACATGGATTCTGTGATAGTTCTGAAAGTGCCTACGCCGCTGTAATTTATGTACGAGCGGTGCTAGGTAACCAAGCAAAAACTTTCTTCTTGTGTGCCAAATCAAGAATAGCCCCACTCAAGAAAATTTCAATTCCTCGTTTAGAACTATGCTCGGCTGTACTCTTAGCAGATTTGATCGAAATTTTGATGCAGTCGTATCGAAATATGTTACCCATCAGCTCAGTCTTCGCATGGTCTGGTTCAACTGTTACGCTTTCGTGGATTCAATCTTCACCCCATAAGTGGGCAACATTTGTTAGCAACAGGGTTACCCATATTCAGGAAAAGGTATCTCCTAGTCAATGGTCTCATGTGTCTACACAAGAAAATCCTGCTGACTGTGCTACCCGCGGCATTGTACCCTGCGAATTACTCCACTTAGAAAAATGGTGGGCGGGGCCGTCATTCCTAACTTCCCATTGTGACCCTTGGTCAAACGAGTCTCTAAAGATCAACGAAATGACATTAGAAAGACGAAAGACGACTCTTACTATTTCGACTACAGAGAGATGTTGCTGGGATAACCTAATAGACCGGTTCTCATCTTTATCAAAATTGAATCGGATTTTCGCTTACATAATGCGCTTCATCTCAAAGACTAAAAATCCAACGCTGTTGCTAAATGAATGTTTTTCTCTATCTGAACTCGACCAAGCCCTCTTAATTTTAATCAAGCAAATTCAAAGATTTTATTATAACAAGGAAATAACTGCACTCTCTAAAAAGGACTCGTATAATTTGAAGTCCTTCCCGAAATATTTTCGCAAGCTCACTCCCTTTCTTGACCAAGATGGTATTCTCAGGGTGGGCGGACGTTTACATCACTCTTCTATTCCATATAGTAATAAACACCAGTGTTTACTTCCAAGTGATCATAGGCTGACTCGTCTGATTGTGGAGCATACACATGTTAAGTACTTACACGTTGGGCTACAAACTACCCAATATTTACTTAGCCAAAGATATTGGATCCCGTCCTCTAAAAGAGTGATACGAAAGGTCATCTCTTCTTGCGTTCGTTGTTTTAAAAGTAACCCCTGTTCTTCTCCTCCGGTAATGGGTAACTTACCTGCAGTGCGAGTAAATGAAATAAAATGCTTCACCAAATGTGGGGTTGATTTCGGTGGTCCATTCCAAGTAACGATGGGCAAAATGCGAAGCTCAAAAAGTTATAAGGCTTATATTTGTCTTTTCGTATGCTTGGCCACCAAGGCTCTGCATTTAGAACTCGCTACTGAATTGTCTACCGATGCATTCCTTGCGGCGTTAAGACGGTTTATTTCTCGGCGTGGTCTTGTCACGGACATCTACAGTGATTGTGGCACTAATTTTATTGGAGCCGCCAAACAACTCGCTCAAAAGATGCATAATGCTTCCACACGAGAAGGCATAAAGTGGCACTTTAACCCTCCTTCGGCGCCAACTTTTGGTGGAATTTGGGAGAGTAACATCAAGTCAGTGAAAACCCATATTGTTCGGGTAGTAGGAACCCATATTTTAACCTACGAAGAGTTCATCACAGTTCTGACCGCAATTGAAGCGATTCTAAATTCTAGGCCATTGTGCACTGTTAGTTCCGACCCTAACGATCTAAGCGTTCTAACTCCTAGTCATTTTCTAAATCTTCAACCTCTTAACACATTTATTGAATCAGATTTAACCGAAGTTAAATTGGGAAGACTCTCGCGTTGGCAGTTATTACAGCGCATGCATCAGGATTTTTGGAAAAGGTGGCATCGTGAGTATCTTCACACCCTTAACCAAAAATCGAAGTGGTATGATCCCTCCACTGATATTAAAATTGACACCCTGGTGTTAATTAAAGAAAATCTCTCTCCTCCATTGGCTTGGCATTTGGGGCGCGTAACAGAAGTCCATCCGGGTACGGACGGAGTGGTGAGAGTAGTCTCTATTAAGACGGCAAAGGGTATGCTCAAACGCCCAGTTTTAAAGGTTTGTCCTTTGCCAATATATTAGTTGTTAATGTTTTCCAATATATTAATTTTTAATTTTAAGCTTAGAATTCGCGTGGGTATCGGAATTGTTATTACGGTTTTTGTTAATTATTTTCTTTTTTTGGATTCATTAATAAAATGTTGCCATTTTAGGTGGGCGGTATGTTCCGTCCAGTCGGAATTGTTTTGTTTTATTTTTCTTCTTTAATTTTTGTAATTGGGGAATTTTTATATCGAGCAAATTGAAATTGGTTTTCTTTTAATTAATTGCTGCGGTTATATTCTCCGCGTATTTTGGTGACAATCTCACTGGGTATATGGCCAGAAAACTCGTATGTCGCTTGGGTGTCGTACTCCGCCGTGATCGGGACTAGTACGATTCAGGTAGAGACCAACGTGAGAGCATTTTTCCGCGTGCCAGAATTAATATCTCGAGTGCCGTCAAGTATTGCGAAATTGTGTCGGTCAACAGCCAGAGCTACATCAAGGTAGGCCAAGAAGAAAAGAGATTGTCATTTTTCGTCTCGTTACATCGATATATTATTTTTTGAATTGCCCCGTTATTTCTAGCTTCAATTAAACAAACAATTACAGTCCATTGCTCTTTCTCGTCCAGATATTGAGGTACATTAAAGAAAAAGATGTACTTAGCGTCCATTCATTGTATCTTAAAACTTGCAATGGTACTTTTAATTTCTTCCAACAGTGGCTTTGTTTTATTTTGTTTTTATTACCATTGCTTTAAAATTACTCGAATAAAGCTGTACATTCGTTTGCTGCTGCATACCTTATAAAACTACTTAAATTAATTTTTGACTTATTAACAAAGTTTACCATTAATTTTGGTGATAATAAAAAACATCATTAGAATAGAACACAAAATTTTACCGAAATATGGCAGAAAATTGTGTTTTTTTATCTCGGTTCCGAAGAGGCAAATATATCACCCCCCAAAAGATGTATTTTTAGTGTTTTATTTTCCGTCTGAGGCGCTTTTCGTTTAAAGTGTTTCTTCTGCGTTTGTGAATAAAAGTTTTCGTATTTTAAAGGGAAATTGCTAGAATTAAGGATTTGGGTTATTTTTCTTGAAAAAGTTTTAAATTATTTTTCTTTGTACGCGGGTGTGGGTTTTAATGTCCAGGTTTTCGTGTTTTTGTTTGTCGGTAATTTAAATAAATAGGAAATTACTTGTTTAATATGTCAAAGTCTGCATTTGAATCTGATTCAGAACTCGCGAGCCACAAAGACAATCAAATTTAGTTTTTATGTCCAAATAAATATAATTTCTATTTGCACAGAAACATTTTAGTTCAATTCTCTATTTAGAAAGCACACCATCAAAAAAGATAGTTTATTATTGTGCGTTTGTGAATAAAATTTTTTGCATTTTTAAGGGAAATTGCTAGAATTAAGGATTTGGGTTATTTTTCTTGAAACAGTTTTAAATTATTTTTTTTTGTACGCGGGTGTGGGTTTTAATGTCCTGGTTTTCGTGCTTTTGTTTGTAAGTAATTTATATAAATAGGAATTAACTTGTTTGGCATGTCAAAGTCTGCGTTTGCATCTGATTCAGAACTCGCGAGCCACAAAGACAATCAAATTTAGTTTTTATATACAAATAAATATAATTTCTATTTGCCCAGAAACATTTTAGTTCAATTCTCTATTTAGAGAGCACATCATCAAAAAAGATAGTTTATTATTGTGAGCTTTCGGCTTCAGAGCCAAGAAATACAGGATTATCAAATTTTGCAATTTTTAATATTATATACTTTTGGGTCGATTCGATCAAAATTTACAGTATATATATGAATTGCCTCAATTTTCCTGAATTTCTGCATCACTTCAAAAAACTCTGCTGTTCTTATTGGTGATTTTACTTGGGAAGTAAACTATACAATAGTTGCTTCTATTTGAGTTTTATGTTTGCATTTTAGGGGTATATATTGATATTGTTTTAAAAAATTTGTTTGTTTGAGGTCGTTCGCGATTCAGTGCCTTTTTGGATTGAAACGGATTCAATATTAAAGGAAAAGATTACCGGTTTCAAATCCAAACACATAAGAAAATTTTATCGTAACACTAGTTTTTGGTGTAAAAAGTTTATTCTTTAAACCTACGCAAAAATTTTTAACAAGCCAGCATTACACGTTATTGATTCCTGCCGTAGACCTAATTAAAATTACATGTTTTGCGACTTCCACATCACAAGTTAAATACGATAAAATGGAGTACATCGTCAGATATTGTTATTATCTTCGCTTATTATTATTAATGTTTTTATATAACATAACTATTATTATATATTTAAACAGCCAGCAGTCTAATGATAGTTTTTAACAAAAATTAGCTTTTAATATTTAAAATATAACGTTAAACATTAAGATACAATTTATGTTCCAATGAAATAATCAACTTTCACAAGGATAGTTAAAGCAACTGTTTTGAAATATTTGGACAATATTTTGAAATATTGTCCGATGTAGATTAGGTATATAAATGTTTTAGGGCATTGCCTTTTTCCGGCAATTAAGTTTCTATAGTCTTCTGAAAGTACAGAAGAAAAAACAAACCATTAACAGGTAAATTTAATTTGACCACACAAAGCTAATCGATCGAGAATAAATAAAATACAGCGTATTCGGATTTATTTTCTTAATATCAGCAACGCGCGCCGTTTAAGTTACTGATGACACATATGATTTGTGTCACAACAGCATTAAATCGTCCGGTAGCATCCGCTCAATTCTTTCCAGGCAAACGCCGAAATAACCTATGCTGAATTGTCTCTAAACCCTCAACAGATGCAACCTCATGTCATCTACAATCAACAATCCATTCCAATGAATGTAATAAGGAGACAAGAACCAACGGTATATGCGCAGATCGATATGCAAAGATTGCCTTCCGCACGTATGCAACCTCTTAGTCCTCCGCATCCGGGCTCGTTCCAGACATTACATCACCCACATCTGCCAGCTTATATGTCGAGGCCCATAAGGGACGACCAAATGCTGCAAGAAGGTTCCATAAGTTCGGAAACACCTTTGTTGGCATCTAGGGAAAATAGTGTAAGTATCGGTGATGTGGCGGTAACCCTAAGTGGAAGGCTCATTAATTTATACTTAAACCAACATGAGGGATATATCGCTGATAGTTAGGACTATCCGCGATGTTATAAGGAAACGCTTATTATTATTATTGTTGTACACAAAATTTATTGAAATGCAATTTTGAATTGAATTGAATGCAAATAAGTGTAACTTCCAAAGATGACAGAAACGTAATTTCCTTGCAGTGCCCCTCTTCGAAAAAGTATACAAGGTCAGGTTAAAAAATTATCAGACTCGACTTTAATTTTATTTTATTTTTTATTTTAATTGATAACGATGTACATTTTTTTTAATACTTAGCTGCATATAATCATTTTAAACAATACAACAATACAACCTGTCAATTTTTGATTTATTAGACATTTTTTCTCGTACGTATTCTATTTTGGATTTATTTATTAAGTCTTATGAAAAATAAGTGAAGTTCGTTTTTCGACAGATTTAATACTGTGTTTTTGTGGCTAATTTAATAATTATTCCATCTCCGTTTGCATTTCTTAAAAATTACAGGATGCTTCTTAGTTTGTTTTTCATAAATTAGATTAGTTTATCAGATTTACAAAATAGAATAAACGAAATTTTTACTAGACAAACTCGTAATGCACCACTTAACCTTATTTTCCAAGCTTACCAAAATAAGAGGTGTGTTCAAAAAGAAGGTGACTTTTATAATTGTGCGGGCACATCTGTTCACAGTTTCAGCCAGTTTGTGTTTTGTATGCTCGTCGATTTTCTGCTGTAAAAAATATGGAACAAAGAATTTGCATTAAATTTTATGCAAAAAATGGAGTACAGTGCTGCAAAACACTTGAAATGTTGACAGCAGCATATGGCGAATCTACTTTGATGTTTATTAGTGGTACAAGCTGTTCCAAGACGGCGGAGAAGACGCCGATGATGAACTTCGCTCTGGACGCCCCAGCACATCAATAACTGATGAAAGCGTTGAGAAAGTGCGACAAATGGTGTTGCAAAAACGGCGCATCACTGTTAGAGAAGTGGTGGAAGACGTCGGCATCTCTATTGGTTCGTGCCATGGAATTTCTTTTTTGGGCATGAAACGTGTAGCAGCAAAGTGTGTGATAAATTGTGGTAAATTTTTTGGCCAAAAACAAAACCACAATCGTGCCTCAGCCACCATATTCACCGGATATGGCCCTGTGCGACTTTTTCCTGTTCCCAAAACTTAAAAAAACGCATGAAACGGAAGAGATCTGGAACGATTGAGGAGATAAAGAAAAAATCTCTGGAAGAATTCAAGGCTATACCAGAAAGTACTTACCAGTGCTTCAAGGCTTGGAAAAAACGTTGGCACAAGTGTATTATATCGGGGGGGGGGGGGGGGATTTTGATGAATAAATAAATACTTTTTGATAAGACTTAAAAGTCACCTTACTTTTTGAACACATCTCGTACATTGAAAACCCGTTTCCAATATTGATTAAGTTTACAAAATATTGTTTTTTGGTAATGAATTTGATCTAATTCACAGAACAACAAACAAAGAAAATTTTAAAAAGCCGTAAGGTCCCTATAAGGCAACTATGCACTTGCACGAATCTAATAGCACATTTATTTACAGAATCTTCAAGTTTTAAAAGAGATGAATTGTTCCCGAACACCAACCGTTACCTCAACTTTGCCCCGAACCGTAACGGCAACCAGATTTTGACCTAGTTAAGTCCGCATTTCTTCCGACCTCGTATATTTATAGATTAATACAAACTCATATTTAATTATAATAATTAATCAGTGAGTGTTTTTATGGTTTTTATAAAACAAAACGTTTATTTCGTTGTTTAATGACAGGGTATTTTAGCCAGTGTTTAATATTTGACGCAACGGGGTTAAACTTTAACCGAATCAAAAATGTAAAACGATTCAATTGAACATTGAGATTCGTCTGATAAACAATACAAAAAGCGTTAATAGTAAAAAAGATGTTTGGCATATGGCGTTGTGACAAAGTCGGCGAATGTGTTAATAGATATACCGTAGGAAAACAAAGTATTACGAAATAAGAAAAATTGTATTTTAAAAATAAATCAGATAATCGTTTAACTTCCTTGCACTTAGCAGCTCAATTATGATATTCGGCTACATACTTACTAACAACATAATATTTTCACCGCTATATGATAAAAATCTGTGGTTGTTAAAATTTTTAAACATTGCGGAAGTTTGGTGGATTATGATTTGAATACCGATGATACATTGGGTATAAGTAGGTAACGATGGGATACCAAAAGTTTTACTTTCCACACTAGTGCAAAAATGGATATCTCACTGTCTTCCCCCACAAAGTTATTAAACTAACCAAACAAATAAAATATTTTTATGAGGACATATGTGTTTTGGTTAATTTCAGCGTTTTAAGGCCTTGCAAGAGATTATAGTTTTTAAAATCGAAACACATACAGGTCAATTCAATGTGCAGTAAATATAAATTGTTCAAAAAATGAAAATAAAAATTTCATAGAAAAAAATTATAAAACGTAATTTATTTTAAACTAAACTTAACGGCAGATTGACTATGCAAATCCAACATCGGCATAGACAGTCTAGGCAAAATAGACACGATTGCAAAAATGGGGGTTCTCCGTTTTGAATTTTTATTTTTTATTTTTGAAGGACCTGTTTCAATAGTTAACAAAATTGCCAATATAATTTCTCAACAATTCTTTCTAGACAACAAAACTTACACAAGTGGAATTATAAATTTTTTAAATTAGAAAAAATATACTGGAAAATTTTTTTAGGGCCTGCAAATGACATTTTTGACAGAAAATTATTATCTTTTTTCCACAGTATTAAAAAAATGCCAAATTGATCCGACGCTCGGTCCCGGATACGCCTTAAAGTTCGCCATCTTAAAAATATATGAAACGGATGACTCCAATACCGTTAATGTCACAGTATTTTCGAAATTTTGGTTTGTTAAAATATTCCAAGAATTTATTTTATCTGATTTCTCGCGAACTGCTGATTCAATTTGATTGATATTTTTTAATTGTATCTTGCATCTTCGTAAATGTTGAAATGAAGAACAATTTTATTTGAATTTATGGGTTTTAAGAAAAGCCTGTTTTATACGCAATGTTTGTCACATTCTGTGGATATTTTACATTGCCCGACCACATGCTGGTGGAAAAATAATATAACATAATTTAATGAGGTGAATATTGAGACTTTGGACTGGGCTCCACCCACTGTAGACCTTAACCCAAGAGAACATTTATGGGATCAAATGGGAAGGTTACTTAGAGATCATTACGGATGACGTAGAAAACATTTATAATTTCGTTTTTAACTAATGATCTCGCGGCATTCAACAGGCAATATGGCCGCTGACAGATCATTTAGTTTCCATGCGGCATATTTATGGCAGTATTTTCTCAAATGAAAGTAAATGACGCAGGCTGGTACGTGAAATGAAAAGGCATTTGATAATCATTTTGGCAACCCAAATTAGACGTTTTTCGATGACACAATAATTACTTTGAAGTGTCTGAACAAAAAAATCATCAGAAAAACGTGAGGTGACGTTGGTTGCCTGGACAGTGTTGGCGGGAACCTCCACAGAATGCAAAAAACATTGAATATAAAACTGGTTTTCTTTAAACCCTCTATACAGATTTATCATTTATATTTTGACACCGACCTAAAGAATTTATTAAATGGGTTAGGCAAAAACTTTTTATACAAAAGTTGTATAATTTTGTCTCGATTATCTTCTGAAAGTACCAATAAAAACAAATGAGCGCCAAAAATGTATACTTCTAGTTACTACTTAGTTTGTTGATATTTAATTTAGCCGTTTCTTGTTTTTATTATTACGTTCGTGAGATAATAGAAAAAAAATCATAGAACCTTTGTATAAAAAGTTTCTGCCTATCCCCTTTAATAAACTTTATACTACCGACAAAATATAAATGAAAACCCTGTACGTACCTAAAAACTTAATTTAAATAAAAACGATTATTCTACCATCGCCAAATTTAACTGTTAAACTGTTAACTGTAATGCGAAGTGTATTTGTGGACGAAGACTGGTGAACTTTTTCGTTTCCGTTCAAAATATTTCTTGTTGGCAAGTTCATTATACAGCCGATATGTCACAGATTTTTATTGCAATTTATCTGTTAAAATTACCATTATTTTTTTCGGAAGTGTAAGTAGAACAATGGAATAAAAGGGTGGGCAGTCGGCACCAATCCGAATTTTTATATTCGCATGTACATAGAATTTTATAGCTGTGAAAAAATCAATTACAACATAAAAATTGAGAACTATTGAATATTTTTAATAGTAAAAGCATTTAATCAAATTTTTAAAGATATAATGTTAAGTTGTTGTCAAAATTTGTATATTTAATGTAAGTATAAATTGTCAGGTTTTTAACGTATATTTAGGTAATTTACATTTTTGTGATAATCTTAGATATTTAATTTTTTGTAATCATTTTACTGCCACGACTCGTTAGTCATTGATATAGATATGTATGTATCTGAAAATTGTGTATATTTTTGTGCAGAAAGTACTTGTGTTAACAAATTCACAAGATGATAATTTCATTTTTGTGCAATATACCCCAAAAAACACATTTAAAGTGTTTATGGTTCGAATTGCCGTCCAGCATCATTATACGTAACTTGAAGTCCGCTCATGTGAAGTGTGCTCATGCGATTTTATACCGAAGGTACAGCGTGATGCTTTGACTATATTTTGCACCCTACCAGAGGCCTTATTATAAGAGATATGAAACAATTTAGAACAAAAGTTTTAGGGTTTCATGTGGATTATCTTTTGGCAAATTACTATCACAAACATTTTGGCAACATTTTCGTTTAAACTATTTTTACTGATTTTCACTCTATAATATTTTAATGTAAACATCTTGCGTAAGTTTAAATGGCATCCCCCGTATATCGTTAATATAAAAATTTAAAGTAATTGATCGGCTCGCCCGATACTTCTAAAAGGGCGTCACCCCACATAAAAAATAATAGTTTATTTTTAGCATAACAGCCATTACAAGCATGGTCATGGTATATTATATATTTTTTAAATCAGGACACACACATCATTTGTTTTTTTACACTGCCAGAAGATAATAGAAATGGAACTTTTGCATTTTAACGGTTTGTCTTTTGCAATAAACTCGATAAGGTGTAAAATATGAAGCATCACACTGTACAGGGTAGACAAATTTGGATGTTTCTATAGGACATCTCAAGAAGTACAAGAGCTATGAAAAAATGAATGGCACAAGTTTTGATTACATTTTAAAACTGATTCCAAACATTTCTAAGATAATTTTCACACGCACAGTTTGATAGCATTAAATTACCAAGACAAATGTACGAATAATCGTCTCAGAACCATTTGGAATAATCCAAACTATTCGTCTAGTTAATTTATTATTATTTTTCAGTTATAAAGTGAAAAATAGATGATTTGGTTATTATAATGCTTTATACAGATTTGCAAATACTTTCATAGTGGTTTTGGCTGATATTCAGACAGGAGCAAATTCCTAAAATTTATATTTAACAAATCGGAAAGTAGTATTACCTAGCCGTGTGAAAAATCGTTGAGAAAATAAAAAAGTGCTTTTTATTTAGTGCCTAGCCTACTATGAAATGTATTTTATAAAAGATAAATTTATATTATAATAATCAACAAACAATTTTTTTTAATAAATGGTTACTCCAAGACAGTGCTTCAAGAATGAGCAAGAATCTATTTGTTAACCTTGAATAATGAAAGTTTTTACGCTGAAAATTTTCAGAGTTACTCTCACTAAAACGACCAAGAATGCGTCATCCATTTTCCATAGCGCTTATAGTTACCAAAATTTCCTATAGAAACATAAAAATTTTCCCACCGTAGTATACATATTAATAAACTGAATACTTTATCCGGATATTCGGATAATACTTCGGTGGAAATTACAATTTGTATTTTAAATCTTATGACATTCCATAGCATATTTGTAAAGAAAAAATATCTCTCTCGGTTTACCAAAATATGAGTATTTTATTACACATAGAACGTGTCCCACAATTGAAGTCAACGGAAGTTAACTAGAATGAAGGCCGAGCGGAACACTAAACAAAAACTGATTAACGATCTGTCATTAAAATGTCGAACGCCATTGACCACGGAACTAATAACTAGTAGGACATGTTCCTATTAGTGTGTGGTTCTTGTTCAATTTAGGTGTTATGGTTAGATGCCCACGGTAGTAAAAAGATATTTACATTTTCATTGTACATTTGTTAAAAGCTTTCAACTTATTTGTAGTCCTTTCATTATAATTTGCTCCATTTTAAAATGTTTAAAATGTTGTAAAATATTTATTTATTGAGCTAAAACGAAATCTTAAGCCTATAAAGCATTTCTTTTCTCTGAAATATTTCATGTTGTTTCCTGGAACAATATTCAGGTATGACCTTATTTGGTGATTTGGTACAGAATACATAATAAACACGGTATCTTGAAGTAAAAAGTATTTTAAAAATGTTGTCATTAATTTTGAAATAATAAATGTTGATGGTTATAATATGCCATGTTAATAATTTTTAGCTGAAAAATGTTTTCAGCTATTTACACGTTACGACAATTAAGTTGAAAGCAGTTACCATTCCTTAGCAACAGATATTAAATTCATATTTAGCCTACTCTTAAACGAAACTTGTATAAATGTATATACTTATAGATAACATAAGGGTGTGAAAATTAGAGGAGTTTTCAATGTGCATTTTTCACTTGTTTGACCTGAATCCTTTAAAAATCTTTCCATTTCATATGATTTATTTCTATGGACAATAAAAGTTTCAGTTTGCAACGCCGTAGATATATTCATTATTTTTTTAAGCGATGTTGAAGTAAAATTAAAGTGGCCTTGTATCCGAAATTAAGTTTATATTGTTTAAATAATTATAAAAATGTAGATGTTTTTTGTAAATATTCGTGTATGTTTAAAAAATCTTGTATATGTAACTTTAATCAAACTATCCGAAGTAATAAAATTATCTAAATTGAATAATTTTATTTGAAAGCTACAGGGGAAATACCAACAGAGTCTAAAATTGATAAAATCGGGATTTCAATAGTTGTTTGCGCTATGCATTTTATAGTAGCAAACCGCTAAGGCATCAACTAGTAACGCAGACCTGCGATACTGGGAAGTAATAGTTATATATATTGCAGGAGAAAAACCAACATAGTCGGTAAAATATTACAATGCGTAGTTTCCCTCTTGTTCATTTCATCCACTAACCTGTACTTTGCGCCTTTTTCTTTCTAAACAACGATTTACACACACTCAACCAGAAGATTTAATGAGATCTGGGCATATTTTAAGAAAACACTGGGGTAAAAATGCCACACCTACTGACGACCTGTCATTTGTCATGCCTTTAATGCTGCATTGGTCATTGGTTAAAAACGAAATTTTAAATTTCGCGCATGCACATGTCGAATGAAACCTTCTCTTTTTTTTTCATCGTTACTTCATATGTCCCTGTATTTTTGGCATTCGCAGGGTCTCTATATCTCTAGTAGCTATACGGTAACCGTTTTTTGACGCGTTTAGCAATTTTTTTTTTTTAATATTCCAATCGTGTTGTCTGTTTTAAATGCCGAACAGACTGATTTAATAGAGCAATTTAATATAATATAATTTAATATTGGACGTGAGAATGGTCATGATACTTAAAATAGTTACTTACTTATCTGGCTTTATCTCATTACGACCTGTGCTTTGGCCAACGCAAAATGAAGATACTAGTATAAATCAGTTGTAAACAATCTTTAAAGGCTAGAGTATTTTTTGCGCTGCAAGTGGTACAAGAAAATGTTTCCTTTTCCTGTTAAGCAACTAAAACAATTAATAATTTTTGAAAAAACCTGCAAAAGCATTGGAAATTTCACGCTATCATGGGTCAAAGATTAATGGAAGAACCAGAGGAGAAGATCAAACATATCAGATCTTCAGAAGCTCTACAATAGGAGTATCCATCTGCCCAAAGAAAAGTGTGATGGTGTAATGCACTTCTGTGAAGTGAAGTGAAGTGTATCAACAAGGAATAGGGGTATTTACCGTAGGCAATAACGAGGTGTTTTCAGTTTCATCTACGCAAGTAACAAATATAAAAATATATGCCTTGTATATGACCAACCCTTCATGCATAGTTTAGCGAGAACAGTGACGTCACCTATCCACGTTGTAACAAGTTTAAGGGATGACTTGTATAGAAGGATTTATATGGCTACTAGACACATAGAGGGCCTGCCTATGTTGATAGTACATGAATTCATGACGAAATTAGGTTTGTAAAACAATTTTAATAAGATCTATTCGACATACAACATGGCCACTGACAGATCGTCAACAAGTTTGGATGCGCCATTTTTGTGGCAGTATTTTTTTTAAATATGCCTAGATTTCATCAAATGTTCTCGAAAAACGAGATATGCGTGTGGAAATCGCTGTTTAGAAGAAAATGGCGCACGGTGCAGGCTATTGGGTAAGACGTAGAAGCATGCGCGGAAAATAATTACCTTCTCTACGAAAATATCAACGAAGAATGCGAAGCCCCAATTTTTACTGTTGCCCTTTGATTAAATTAATGCAGTAAATTTCCCTTGAGAGGAAAATATCTATTCCAATACAAACTAACCAAATATTTGCGTTCTTTCGGAATCTGGCGAATGATACGTTTTCTTTTGTTTAGAGTGCCTGACTACGACCCATTTTCACAAATATTAGTTTCGTTATTTACAAAATATAACCTGAACACGTAGATTGGCTCAAATAAATAGTAGGCGGGCTTCTTTGTGACTACCGGTTAAAGTTGAAACTAAGTGAATTTCGCCAATTCATCTATTATAATATTATCCAGCATAATGTAACCAACAAACCAACAGATGTCGAAAATGGGCATATAACTCCAATACCTTTTCTCACATTTTGAAAGAAGAAGAAAATGCGGTAAATTTATACCTTGGTTTATCTGATTGGAATTGGAAATAGGATTAACATATAGATACATATAATTCATACTTAACCTTCAAAATTAAGATTTAAAAAGTTTTGCTTTTATGGAGCATTTTAAAGATGCTCATTATTTTCATATTCCATCTCAAGGAAATATATACACAGTTACTGACTTAAAATTAGCTAATGGAACTCCTATACTTTTAGCCGCTTCTCTAAAAAGGGAAATTTTTTGTATAGAATATTTGGAATCTTCATCTGGATTCCTAGTATCAACCACAAAAGAAGTATCTTTTACATATATCCCAAGCAAGTCCTTGTTTATATTTTTTTTAAGTTGAAAAATATAATCGAATTTATTTTTAATAACAATTTTAGGTGGTGCTGAAATAATTTCTATTGATGCATTTAATAAGTCTACAACTAATAATGAACTAGTAATTGGAATCACTATAATAAAAGTATGTTCTCGAAAAATATATTAATCTAAAAAGTTATTTATATTTTTAATGCATTTTTAGAACAGTAGTGATTCAGACACTTTAGAAACATTCCTCAATATCTACTGCCAATTAGAAGAAAATGAAGATTTTGACATTGAAAATATTGCCCAAAACTGCCTAAATGTTGAGTTAAATTTCATTCCTTATAAACTTTTGCATACACACTTAATAACCTGGAATGATTGTAGTATTCTCGGCAAAGAGGTATTAGTTTGTAATTCTAGGAATATCAATTTGAGTTTGAGTGCTTGAGCGCAAGTCAGGTTGTTGTTTTTTAATTGTGTAAACTATCTTTCTATAATCGCCTAAAACAAAATATTCATGTTGAAATGCATTTTTTAGTTCCAAGAATATTTAAGGCCTCCTAATTAGAAATTATTTACTATTCTTGCTCTTAATGAACATTGATCTAAGATATTTTTTAATATTCTAGATAGTGTTTGTTTTATCAGGCAGTGATAACCAGGTACACATTTTTCAAGAAAATACCACAGATCATGTATATAGAGAAATAGACGCTAAAGAATACTTCCCAGAGTTTGGAAAAACAGCAAGCCCAGTTGTATGGATTGATATACAGTTCATTAATAATTTTGAAGAGTATGTATCATTCACATTATTTAATAAAATAATTGACTAACCATTATTTAGGAGAGTTACTGCATTTGGTTGTGAGTGTGGATATGTAAAATTAATGAAAATTAATACCAAGACAAATAAAATAGTGTACAACTTTTCCGTCAGATTTGGAAACTACATATCTAATGTTTATTTATACAGAGAAGATAAAATAAAAAGCAAATACAAAATCCAAAAAATAATTGGAGTCAATAATTCCAGTGAGAGTGCAGGAAACTCGCAGCCTATCCTCAATATGATAGTAATCAACTCAATTCTCCCTGCTGTTATTTTTCGGTAAAAAAGACTACCAAGTTTGGGATTTCATATTTACTTATAAAATTTTTAGAGATGTGCTGACTTATGGACTCAGTGATTATGCTACTCTACCTAGGCATGACAATAGCACAATTTTGACAAGCTGTGTTGTGGCAGACATTGATTTTGATGATGAAAAAGAAATTTTGTTAGGAAATAGTTCTGAGGTAGGAGTTGTATAGAGTGGTCTTTAAATTGGGTCACTATTTTATCTAAATAAATGTAGGTGATGAAGCAGAAATTTATTTCCTTTGTTTAGTTTACCACTTTTTAAATGACAGAAAAGTTGAGAGTTGATGCTCAACAATACTATATTCTTTCATTAACATATTTTTTATTGGTCTCATTCAAGATATTCAGTGTAAAAAGCACAACATGACAGTAAATCTAAAAATAATAAAAAATGTTAGCCTTCATATGTTGTGCCTCGCTGTAATCAATTTTTCTTTTCGTATGGCCCCTATACTGAATATTTATATTTTTAAAATGGTCCGAAAAAACTCTTTTTGAACATATATAACTTTTAATTTAGTAGGCCAAACATTTTATTAATGCCCTTTGTAACTCCACTAATTAGTCCAAATTATTTTAATTTAGGGCTCGGAATTATTATGTTGTGGAAATTTTTCTGTGAAAAACTATCAAACTAAATAAGTAAACAAGCTTACACTTTTGTATTTATCATTTCTCTTCATCCCCTATATTTTCTGAGATAAATAGGTGTAAAAAATGCAGAAATTATTGTCTATGTTAATAATGATCTTTTAAGGAAATTATGTTAATCAAGTATGACAAAGGAGCCAAAAATTGGTTTTTGGAAGAACTGAAACTGATAGCAGCACCAGTGCTGTGTATTAAATATATTGACCTTACAGGAGACGGTGTAAAAGATCTGGTAGTGTTTTCTGTTAAAGGGATACATGTTCTACAAGTAAGTTTTAATTTGCCCAATGCGAGTTCAAAACTCACACTCACTCACTGACCTGATGGTTACTACACTGACTCTAGGACCTTTGAGCTTCTAGCAAGAAACCACTTTCTAGGGCCTCTTGTCCTACATTCTGTTGGTGTGCCAGGCCAAAGGCCCACACTAACTGAGTGGAAACTGAGAAAAAACTATTACTAAGCTAAATGGGGAATAATTTCATTCGAACCCTTTAAGTTGACCATGGTTGACAACATTTATGCAGGTTTGTCACAAAATAAATGAGACAATACTGCTAGTATGGATTCACATTCTAACAGGCAGATCAGCTACAAAGATAATTTATATACCAAAATTGAGTTGGCAAAGTCCAGACCTAAAATCGTACCACCTATCAGGCTTACCTCATTTCTGCTGAAAAGTCTGTAAAAACATCTTCTTCTAAGGAATCTCCTTCATGCCCACAAAATCAACAGAGCTAGCACTTAATAACCTGGTTGAGAGAATAAGCCAGTTTTTGTATTCCAAGACATAATAATGCACTACCAGAATCATTCTATGAGGCTACAAAAGCCTGAGGGATCGGCTGGCTATCCTCTCACTGTGGGAGTAAGTAGTTCATAATACAAGGTAAAAGTGAAAAGAGGGGTAGGAAATAGTGGACTGTATAGTGTTTTCAATCAGCTGACAATTTATTCACAATGGACGCACCCACAACTTTTACACGTTGACATACGCGTGACACAAAATGTCAAACAAAACAAGAAAATTTGGCTCTATTACTTTCTGGGCTGGTACAAATTAGCAATTAGCAATATCAAATGCAAACCTACTTGCAGAACCAACAACGCTGAATCAAGAACAGTGTATCTGCTATCATTCAAGCAAACATGACCATAAACCAATTGAAAATGATAGTTGTACCATTCACCTGCAGAAGAAAACTGGACAATTTGGTGCCTCCTTCCAGACTGGGTAAAACTATAAACTTCTCAACTGAGGTGAAATATCTGGGACTAGCCCTACAGAAAAATCAATGGGATGATCATAATTCTTATGATCGGTTATGGTTCTCTAGTCTGAAGGGAAGCCTGTATGGAGATTACTGATGCCTTCAGCACAATGCCTACAATGTGTGTGCCAGCTACTTCAAAGCGGAATGTATTAATCTTGAGGCACTGGTTCTGCAGAACGTTACTTTATTTGAAAACAGAGAAACAACCTAATACACATTCTTCCAAGCCGGTCAAAGTTTCCTTTCAAATTTGCATGACAGTTAAGAATGGGACAACTGTCCTGGCTTCAAGCAGTGAGCTGCACACTAGCGCCACCTATTTGCCGTATCACTAAATATAACTCAAAACGATTGGGACACTACAATGGGCATTCTACAGGGGCTAAGACATCAATAACAGACCTCTATGAACTAAAAGCCCCAAGCATGGAAGAGTGGGCTTAGTGTAAAAACAACCTCGTAGGGCCTAAGGAATCATTGGACGGAATCTTGGCACATATTCCAGCATATTCAAAGAGAAAGTATAGTGCATGTGATTTAGATCTGGGCGAGGATGTTGGAATGGAAGCAACATTTGCGGAAAAAAAGTGAACGCATTTTCGGACATTAAGGCGGCACTGAAGGAGTTAAAACCATCCCATATTGACTCTAATTGCCAGGGTTGGCCCATTCAAAGACAGTGATAGAATGTCCTCTGAAGAGACATAACTGATACCCTATTAGCAATGAACAGACCAAATCTGAAAATTCTCTTAGGCGTGAACCGGACAGTACAGCCTCAAATACGCGCAAGATCGGGTCCGCCTATAATGACGAATGCCGGTTGTGCTTGGAAAATGATTAAACCGCAGAGTACAGAGTACTGGGAAGCATTAGGCACGCAAAACTTAGGGCCGAAATCCTCCGACTTGAAGATCTGAATAAATTTTAATCTCTCACAGAATAGAGGATTTAGTAGAAGTCCTCACTCAGTCCAGTGGGGGAGTAAGTACTTGGAAGTGTGCTGCAAATTTATCATCAGGTCGCAGCAGAAGATCGGAACATCAGTCACACACAATGAAACCTTAAATCTTGAATTTCTAATGCTAGACAAAAGTAAAATATCTAGACCACCACTGAAGGCTTAGTCCATATAAAATTAAAGGTTTATCATATCAGATTGGTCAACTTTCACAACTTTTTAAGTTGACTTTATATTTCGATACATAAATGCTTTCAGGTTTTTTTAGAATTTGTCTGCTGAATGTAAAATTGTCACAGTTGTCGGAACCAATTAAGCGAAGTTGCACAAAAAAAAATCCAAGAAACTCGCTATTTTTCTAATTTAAAAATTATTTTTTTATTTCGTAAGTAAGTTTATGTTTTTTTTTCTTTTATCATCTATTTATTTTCAGTATGACCATCACTACATCAATGAGCAACTAAACAAGAAAATTGACAGCGTGTGTATTCCGACAATAAGTAACACTAGAGAAAGTGCAATTTAAAAATGTAAAATCTAACTTAAGAGAATTTATATATACCTACTGTACATATTAAAAAAATGGAAGATATATTTTTTGAAAATAAACAATTATTTTTATTTTTTCATTATCGCTGAATTTTGAAAAATGTAATCATGAAACTTACAGCGCACTTTAGATTAACTTCGTTTTGAGTCATACATCTATGGTCTCAACATTTAACGAGGTTTTAATCTATGGCTTGTTTCTTTTATTCGCAACATTGCTCACATACGAAGATAGTGTTTCCCCACGAACTAGTTTCAATTTTCTTAATTTTGATTTAAAATCAATTTGCTGGGTAGCGAAGTTAAAAAGAGGTAAGGACCAATGCCTTTTACGCCGAATAAATAATGTTCGTGAACAAATATTTCACATTCTGCATTAATAAAATTCAAGACTTAATGTTGATATATGATGATTGGTAAGCGGACAACCAAGTAAATGATCATGATGTTCACTTTCAAGTCATTGTGAAATACCAGTAATAAAAGTCTTGTCAATGTTGTCTATAATTTAATCGCGATCGGTTTTGTCATAAAAGGAATCTATAAGTTTTCCTGATAGTAGTGCAATTTGCATATGTAGTACACAGCTGCACAGTGTTGCCAAACTCCTGTTTTTATTTATTTTCCTACGATCGAAAATAATCCCCAACTGAAGGAATTCCTTCATTCACACACGAAAGATAAACAAGGAAAGTAAAACAAATAAAATATTCGTAATTATAGCGATAAAGAGAGTGTCATTATTTATTAAATTGTCACATGGCATAGAGTTTATATATACCTCCGACACTTTCCATATATTGCGATGCTTTAAATGGTGCGTTTACATAAACTTCAAATTAAAATATGTTAATATGAAAAAAGGATATCAAATAGAATATAATGAAAAGAATAATGACTTGACTCCTGTAAATTCTTGAAGAGAGTTAATAAATTTTAGCCTCATCTTGGTAACATAACTGTTTCACTTTTTTATCTTTACTTAACACAATAAATAACTGGTAAACTATTTACTCTATCGTATTGGGAGGAAAGGGTAATATTTATGCACAACGCAAAGAACAATAAAAGAAATTCTGAAATAATTGCTACGGCAGTGGCATTGAATAGTATACCGCATGTATGAATCAGGTAAGGTCGAGCATATACAATGGGTTTTTGCGGGCACCGTTTAGCGGAAGACAGTCATATGGATACCTACGTCATGCATGCTCCGTTGTAGTACTTGTTCAGTTTTTAATAATGATTATTGTTTGCGCTCTTGAAACGGGGGATTTGCCTAAACAACCAGAGGCTCAACCTTCGTTTAACCGAAATCATTTACATAAATAAGGATTGCACTTTTGAATATAGAGAGAGAGAGATGCATCATTTCCATTTTTCGGTTTTTAAAATAGTTGAAATCAGTTACATTAAAACTGATGTTTGCTCTGAATTCTAAGTGTTTTTCAGAATATAAAACATAAAAAATTTTGTGATGGAAATAAGTAATTTTCATTATATGAACAAATTTTGATGACATATATATATATATATATATATATATATATATATATATATATATATATATATATATATATATATATATATATATATATATATATTGATATTCTATTTCCCTACGTTTACTTTCTTGATCAGCTCAGTAAAACATTTTTCAACTCTTCAAATACATCTTCGCGAACGCTTTTACAGTGTGTAATCAGCTTTAGAGCGAATACGGTCTGGTTAGTAATTGCCTTCAAGGTTGTTTAAAAAAAGTACATGTAATATGCTGTTTTGATGTAACATAATTTGTTTTAACAGTGATGAGAGCTCACAATAAATAAAGATTCTTTTTGGGCAAGAAATACACACGCCTACTCCGACGTAAGTTAATGAACCCTTTTAAAAATCAGATTGCCTAAGTAAATGCTAAATAAGTATTAATTAAAATATTCAACTTTAATAAACAGTCATAAGTGTTAAACAAGTTTATAAAATATATGAGTTGATAATTCATTAGACGTATTTTTATATCAGAACCATGAAATTGTTCGCATCATATACTTTATGGTGTTAAAAATTTTGACATTGTAACTCATTACTGCGGAATTCATTTATATCTCCATATCGAAAAAAAATATATAAAAGTTATTTATATGAAAGTAATGCATGCAATAAAAATAGTTACCAATATACAGGATATCTCATAAATCTCTCACAACACCAAATTTATTTTTAAATGGAACACTCGGTATATATTATTTTATTTTTGGAAATTTCGGAGAATGAAACCGCAGAATACTTTCAGTTAGTATAGACTTTAAAAACATTTTACATGCTGTTGATTTTATTTATGTCAAACTGACTAAATCACTGTACCGAATTTTATTTGATATTACTGTGCATATAACCAACGATTTGAAAATTTTCTATCACTGCTTAAAAATCTCGTATCATATGTCCACCATATAAAATTCATTCAAACACCCTGAAAGTGTTAGTGAAGTAAGCTAAACGGGAGTAATTTTAACAGCTTAAGATCTTCGTTTCATTTTGATGGTTTGTATTTTTTCTTTGTTTTCTTTGCTTAGCAGACGGACACAATAATGATAATTTATTAATAGACCCCGTGAGCCGTTTTCAAATTTTTGGAATTAGGAAGAGCTTATTTGTAAAAAAATTGTCAACTTGGTCCATTTTTTAAAAAAAAATTCGGGCTTTCGTTAATCACCCGGTGTAATAAAAAATATACCATTTAAGGGACTTCTACAAAAATGTAACGATAGAGTAGAACACAAAGCTTAATACATTGAAATACTGGTCCAAATATCTTTTTTATTTTTGCAGATATGTATTTCGTAAATATAAACCTTTCTTCCACCACTTTACTAAAATGAATTGCCGCAAGTGTGGTGCGAAAAGTCGTAATAAGGCGTTAGTTTAGTCTTTTTTATGTTCCTTCAAAACTTTATCATATTCTGGTTTATAGATCACGGAAAATATGTATTACCCAGCTGATCCTGTCGATGGTTTAATAAGAGAGTTTTCGAGACTGAAGGTCGCAAAACCGCAAGCCAACAAATTAGTAAAACGGAAAACTAACTATCACAAGAAAAGGGAACTTCCTCGGCCCCTCTCGATTCGATTTAATCCAAGCGTTTTGAATATCGAATTATGGTCTGTAATGCAAGATTGCACGAAAGCGATGGAGTTCGTGGCTGTTGAGGTTGGTACAATAGAATTTAATAAAATATTGAATAAATTACCTCCTTCGCTGTATGTATCGGAAATAAAAAAAGTTTGCAATCCGTTTTTAAAACTTTCGTTTGATCTGAAAAGGTCTTTCTGGTGCAACAATGTAACCCCACTGCAACTATTTCACGGTACGAAACAGAAATATGTAGATAATATTTGTCTACATAATTTTAATTGGAGATACAGCGGAAAAGATACTGGGCACAGATACGGCAAAGGTGTAAATTTTACATCGAAACCAAAGTTTGCTCTGAATTTCTGCGATAAGAACTCCGCTGATAAGGTTTTAATTCTGGCAGAAGTTTTGTGTAAAGCGTTTGGAGAAGGAAAAGAGAATCTTCTCGTTCCGCCGTACGGATGCGACACCGTCACTGCGTGCAACGGAATTTATGTTAAATTTTGCGACGGTGAATTTTATCCGAAGTACGTTCTTCATGTCCGCAAATATAATCGAAAACGTTAAATGTGTTATGTAATATTTTACAGGGTATTTTTATTATTCTTAAGTGCTCGTTTTTCTAACATAATTTGAGTTAATGTTTTGACTGTTTGTTTTATTTATATTTTGATAGTCTATGTATGAATATAGTTTGTTTTACTGATAACGGGATATAACTTGAATACAAGCTCAAGTGGTGTTAAATGCCTTATTAACAATTCGATATTAACTTGTTACTTGCCTTGTTTTTTAAAAAAAATAAGTTGACAAAAAACCATTGAAATCCATTTGAATTTGTATCAAATTGTCCCTCGAAGAAGTTTTGTTGTTTTATTAGATATTTAGGCTTCAAGTTCACATGTTACAAGGCAACAAACTATTTCGCACAGATGAAAAGTCTTTATTGTGCTTTAAAGAACTTTAATGCCATCTTTAAGAAAATCTGGACATATTATAAACATTTACAGGGTCTTCCACCTCAGCGCATTTCTTTCATAAATCTATAACGCATGCGACGCCAATAATCCCAAAAATGCCCCTAGCACCGGCCACTAGACTTAATAATTTTAATACATTAGGGCTAAATTACCCTCTTAATACACCAACTAACACTGTCAAATTTCAACAAAATCGAGTGAATATATGTTTATAAAATATAAATAAATATATAAAATATATTATATTTTTTAATAAGGAATCGCCCCTAAAATATCTCCGTCTATTTTTCGAACACCCTGTATATATATTCGAGCAACTTAAGATGCGTGCGCACATTGCTATAAATTTATATATTTATAAATTTTAAAAATATTTATAAATATATATGTAATACAAAAACGTGGGTGGGTTTCGTCGCATGCGTCTCAATGTGTGCGCCTTGCCTTAGACATAACATCTAAAAAAAACGGATTTATGGTCTGCATATTTTAAAAGTAGTTTGTAAATAATAACGGGAATCACACTAGCTCCACAAATTTTTTGACGCCCCGATATTTCCAAGAAATATTTTTTCTTTACTTTTAATTTTTTTCTATGCTTTTGCAAAATACTAGGTAGTTCTTCTTCAGTAACATCTTAGATTTTTTAATTTTTTATTATAAGTTTAAAACCGATAATGCTAAACAAGGAAAAATTCTAATTACAGATTCATTAGTGATTATCAAAATTTATTTAATTATAATTCAGATTTTGGATAATGTTAGGTAAGTATAGTTACATTTTTATTCTTAACGTGTTTTCCAAAATGAAAATAATTACCCACTAATGAAACGCATGGATGCATATTGAGCCAGAAACTTTTTAACAAACCATATTTGACGGGCCCAGAATAAAAGTCAGTTAAATACTGCACGTAGAACAAAAATAAATTTTGTACATTCAAAGAAACTTCCACAGGCTACTGTAATACTTTTTACAAAACTTCTGGATTCCTCATGTGTCGTTTTTTGCTGAGTCGAACTTGTCTTACGTTTCGCCAATCATCCCATTGGCTTCTTCAGAGCTTGACTGAAAAACAGTTTCAGGAACGTCAGCAAGTTCGACTTAGCAAAAACCGACGCAGGAGGAATCCAGAAGTTTTGTAAAAAGTGAAAATAATTACCCACTAATGAAACGCATGGATGCATATTGAGCCAGAAACTTTTTAACAAACCATATTTGACGGGCCCAGAATAAAAGTCAGTTAAATACTGCACGTAGAACAAAAATAAATTTTGTACATTCAAAGAAACTTCCACAGGCTACTGTAATACTTTTTACAAAACTTCTGGATTCCTCATGTGTCGTTTTTTGCTGAGTCGAACTTGTCTTACGTTTCGCCAATCATCCCATTGGCTTCTTCAGAGCTTGACTGAAAAACAGTTTCAGGAACGTCAGCAAGTTCGACTTAGCAAAAACCGACGCAGGAGGAATCCAGAAGTTTTGTAAAAAGTAGAAACTTTGTCCTTGGAAAAAAACGTTAAAATTATATTCATATGTATTTTTCAGTGATTACAATTTGGTTGCTCGTCTTGGGTCAGATGTATTGTTGATGAGAATTCACATTCAGCAATTTCTTCGATTCCTTATACGTATACCTACCCAATCCTACAACGTATGACGCAATACTATTTTGGATGATCGAGCAACGAAATTATTTCGGACTATCGCGAATTCGGATTAATGACGTCCCACACTAAATTATCTTACCAGAAGGGTTACGGACCCAAAATATATAAAAATTACTCAATATATGATTTACAGGCATTGTAAAAAAATGGGTATTAAAGAGAGGGTCACTGTGAACAATAGTTCGCATTTAATCACACTGCGAAACATATTAGAAGTATCTGACGAACGGATTTACTTCAAATTATACAGGGTGATCTAACATATTTTCAAGTGTGCAGTGTGGCCGCTTCTATATAAATGTGGCAACATCTTGCTTAGTTTAAACGTTACTCCCTGTAGTAGTAGATTTTGTTCAGGTTTCCCTATACTTAAATTATAAATAATTTCCTTGATGCTTGAAGAAATCTTAAGATTGCTGTGCTTTAAACTAACTCAATATATTCAAGTGTCCCTGTACCCATCTCTTACGGTCTTTAAAATGAAAATTAAGTTTCACACATGAACTTTGTAAAACATCATTTTCATTTCGCTTTAGTTTCTTTCCAACTATATTTTTTCAAAGTCAATAATCAATCAATCAAGACAGAAGACTCCTTCTTGTCAAACGCCAAAGCCTTCTGTGAACTCGGGAACACGGTAACAATAGAAAAAGCGCGAAATACAATCGTAGAATCTAAAAATGAAATGATATGCAAGGGGAGCCACCTCCTCTTACATTATTCTGTATAATTTAAAGCAAACGCGGTATGAACGGGTAGGTCTAGGTGCGGCTGAATATTGATCTCCCGTAACATACGTGAACGGAAATCCATCCACTGTAAGCTTCGAATAAATTTTTATTTTCAAGGATTTTTTTTTAAAACGGCGTTTCTAATTATTAGATTGGAGATACTTAACAAAAATGTTTTTATTTAGTTTTTCGTCATTTGATTAGTTTTTGCTTGTTTACTCGGCAAGCTTACATTTTGGAAATTTAAGAAAAATGGTTTATAAATATTTGCATACGATTCCTCCAAGAAATCTTTATATCTTTATATGACAGACTTATTGGGAAAATCTTTAAAAAAGAGACGTGACGAAGAGTTTTTATAGATTCAAAATCTACCTTAAAATGACAAAATCAAGAATTTCTGTAAACATGAAACGGCGCACTTGCGAGTGAAATAGTTGCGACAAAAAAATCCAAAATCATTCCATTGAAACATAGGACGCGAGTATGTTCCAAGGAATGAATCGGAATAATCCTGTTTAATTTTCGACAAGTTTGCAGAAGTTCGAAGCATATTTTTACCCAGCTTCACCCATGAAATAACCCTCTATACATACACCTATAAAAATATTTTCTTGAAATAAATAGAGATGGTAAAAAAATATATATTTAAACATTTGAAAAAATACATGCCAGCAGCAAATGGGAATGTCATTTATGGATCATGTAGTGAAGTATGCTGTTAGTCTTGGTTCGTTTACCGAGACGGCTAATTAATTGTTTGTCCCTATCTTTAGTTTGGCGGTAGTTTTCCCATAACTCCACTTGAACTTCTCTTGGTAGTTCTCTAAATACCTCTTCATTAACATTTGGAGGGCATGAAATATTATGATTTGTATCAGGCAAACTATCACTCGAGTTTAATCTCAATTCAGCTACCTTTAGCTTTGATGGTGCTTCAATATCATCCAAATCATTAGTCAAATTTCTCTTGGTACCAAGTTTTTGAAACTTGCCTCGTTTGGGAATTGGTCCAAGTTCAAATTCTGGACTATCTAGTACATATGAAGTTGACGCTACTTTTGTAGGAGTGCAACACTCTTCCCGAGTGTTTGCAAAATCTGTAACAGATTGAACTTCAATGTTTCTAGACAAAAATTTTTTTAGAATATTGGTATTAGGTTTTTCAACAAATTTGGTAAATGATAATCCCAATAGAGTAATGTGAAATGTCTTCTTTGTATCAACAATTTTTTTAAAGAGAATCATAATAATACTTATGAGCTTATTTTTATTAACTTCTGTCATTTTTAAGTTATTGAATAGTGATGTACTAATGTTGCACTGCCTGGATTCTCTACCACTTAAATGAGAATTATGTTTGTCATATTTCCGCACTGTTATTTTAAGAGTTTTTGGTATTCGGCCATCTTCAGCGACTAGTACTAATAGCCTATTCAACAACTGTCTCAATTTTTCCTCTATTTCCTTCTCAATTGAAATTGCTTTGCAACTATCTTCTATTCCAATACTCTGCGGCTTTCCACTTATTTTAACAGGAGATAGATCATTGCCCAAACTTAAATCTCGTACAAATTTGGCCCTATCACACCCAAGAATTGTTTTTAATAAGTCAATGCTGGTATTTTGCAATTCTTCCACTTTTGTTATATTATGTTGGGCTAATAGTTGGGCGGTGACATGACCAAGCCATGGTATATTTGCAACAGACTCTAGGCTAAGTAATAACTCATATGCACAATTAGGGAATACAATTGTTTGTTTGTTTGGTTTATTTTTACTACAAGCAATTTTTGCAATTAGTTTATTATGTGCAATACCAGCACAAGTGGTTAAACCTAATTCATTTCTTAACCTATCTCTTATTTCCTGTGCAATCTGAGATCCTAGCTTAAGTCGCTCTGTGCAGCCACAATCACATAACATGCTTGTGTCACCAAAAACATTGCCAAATGAATTTATTGAACCATTGCTATGCAATTTTTCTTTTACTAAGTGAGTAATATCTAAGAAATTCTCATCCAATCCAAGCCTTTCAACTAAATCTGAGTAGTTACGTAGACAAGCTGTAACATTGTACGACATCTGCCTATAATCGTGAAGATCTTCTCCATTAACCAACACTAGATCAGAACATATTTTCCTTGCATCACTAATTTTCATGCACTTTTGTACACCATATTGCCTTGCAACATAGTTACTTGTGACTACAATATTTTTTTGTTGTATTCCTAGAGGTAGATTCATTAGAGATGGATTTTTAATCATTTCAACTTGGGCATAAAAGCAATCTATGTCAACATGGATTATAGTGCGTAAGTGGTCATTCACATTATTCATCTACAAAAAAAGGATTCCTTTAAAATCAAAAGCTAGATTTGTACCTTATTTACCTTTTTATCTTATTTTTTAATTTTTTGACTTTGACGACTTTGTAAACCAAAAACAGAGATCAACTAAAGAAATGCATATAATCACAGATAGTAAAATACAGCATGCCTTGTATGTTGTGGTGCTAACCTAGTTTTTTCAAATTTAATGCCAGTGCTCTGTGATTGAAAACAAATACGTCTGACATCATTGCCTGATTAATGATCATATTCATTTCTAACTGGTAAATCTAGATATAATTTTATTAGCAAATTCCATCTGTATTTTTAGTACAAATGGGTTGTGCTGTTTATGGTTGTAATAATAGCTACCATAAAAAGAAAAGGAGTGGTGAAGACCTTGTATTTCACCGATTCCCAAAGGGTATAGGCATGGAAACAGTCAGAAAGGTTTGGATTACCTGTTGCAACAGAGATAAGATATACAACATTAATAGCAGCTATATTTGTTCTGTGCACTTTACTGAAGATGATTATGAGAGAGACTTGAAGAATGAGTTACTGGGTAAGCTAATACACCCAAAGGGGTAAATAACATGTTATTATAAGGATTTGTGTGACGATTTTTTTAATGAGCTTTACAGAAGATGCATAAGGCAATCCACAAAAAAATAAGTTGCCAAACCATGTGCACTATATACATATACTTCTGTACTATAACTAAATTCATTTTAATGGAATGACATAGTTTTAACTTACCACTTTTTAAAAATATAAAGAGGGTTTTATTGAGACGTGTACAACATTGGTACTTTTTACTGGGGCAACCTGTACTAGTATGAAAGTCATTTTAATAAGAGAGAAATAAAATATTATTCAAACCTTGTTTGTATTCATGAAAAACAAAAATTATATTTTTTTGAATGGACCATATATGAATTTGTTTTTCGATTCTTCGTAAAATTCTAATCGAAATTCATGTAACATGTAGTGTTTACATTTATGAAATATTTGAATTTAAAATGTATATTTTTATATTTTAATAATAAACTATTACAAATCAAAAAGCCTCAGGATAACAAAGTGTTTGACAAATGATTGACAATAATGATTTGATTTGGACACTTGTTATTTTTTTTTTGCTTAGAATTTTACAAAAAAATCTAAAAACAAATCTATCTGATCCATATGATCCATTGAAAAAAGTAAACTTTCTGTTTTTCCGTACATAATGATCAATTTTAGAATTTGGTTTACATATAGAAAAAAAAGTATTTTTCGGTATCTATATAACCAAACTTTTAATTTTATGTAAGGAAAATAGTTCGCATTTCTGTGAAGGTGGTGATTACCCAAAAGTTTTTCCAGGTTTACCAGTAAGAAAAATTTTGAAAAAAACTGCTGTTCCTACTTGTTACTCTCCTAAACCACTAGGTTTAAAAATTTGTACTTATGAAAACAAAAGAGGGAATAATGAACTAGATTTGTGCAAATCTGACATCAATATGGAAATGAATATTAATGTTATCGAAAAGTCAAGGTACATTGGAGACCCATGAGAACGTCAAGTGCAAACTGATGACTATGAATTAAAATATCGAAAACTTTTAAATAAGTATCGTGACATAAAAAGCAATGTCCAAATTAAGAAGATAAAGGAATTAAACAATCAATTGGGTTATTTTAAAAAAGGTAAGTCTCAAAAAGTTTTTACTTTATTAAGAACTCAGCGTCAAAATAAAGAGACAAAAAAAGGTATTACAAAACGTGTGTGTAAATGTAAGTAATGTAATTTGTAGTATTATAAAATTATAAAATAAAAGTTGGAATGTTGAGATATTTTATTGTTTGCGGTAAAGATAAAATTAATGTACAAAGTTTGAATTTTTGCTTTCTGGGATTTCAATCAAAAAGAAAAACTTTATGAAAAATGATATTTATTTACAACTTATGTCTTAGTAACAAACACATTAAATAATCATTCATTTTTTAAAAGACAAGACAGAATAATGCAGTGGTAGTCATTGTGAGTTCAATAAAAAATGTAGAAAAAATCACAGTAGAAATTTGTCAAACTATATCAGTCCAATTTAAAATGCGGTAGTAATGCTTTCATATATAGAAATTATTGAAAAATAAAAATATTCGAATATTTTTAACAAAATCCAAGAAAGCTTACTGACCATTGGTCATTTGAAATTTGCCTTGTAAAAATGAAGATAATAATAATAAAGTGCCTTTATATGCACCAACCAGGGGGTGATATTTACAGGTCGAAATTCCTATAGTGGATAAACAAATGTAAAAAATTAAGATCTTTGTGATTTTTTTATTAATTGAGTTGCAGACCTTCCATAAACTTGCGAAAATCGCAAATAATTAAGAATCCTATTAACCAAAATCTGCTTCGTTGATACCAAATCAAGCTCTGGTGGACACATCCGCATCACCTAACGCTCGTACCACTAAAGTGACTTCTATATGATTACAACAGAGGCAATAGGCAACAGAGTTTAATAGGAGAAAATTTGATTAGCACGATGTTGATTTATTTGTACGGGACCAATCTTTTGAAAAATTATAATTATGCCAGTGAAATAGGTCATTTACCATGAAGATCTCTGTTATCTCGAAAATCTCGATCGCCAATGCTTATGCAAAGTGCTTTCAGAAGTCCCTATCCATTAAACATTAGGTATATTATCATATTTTTTGCAGCTGCTTGTAGTAGCAGGTTTGGATTTTTTTACCGGAAAAACAATTAACAGCAGATGATTCCATTAAGCAAATATGGATTTTCGGGCATCTTTCAAGGGTCTTGGTTGCGGCAATTCATTTTCATCTTCATATGTTACGTAACGATACATTAAAAAAAGAGCGGCGCAACTGAAAAACAAAGTTGCACTGCCAATTATGCTCAAAGTCTGCAAAACGGAAAAAGAACAATTTAGTGCAGTAGGTAGTCATATTATGGTGTTTATTTACCCACCCCAGTCATTTTATTGACAATATCATTAGTGGAACACAGCTTCATTGAAAGGCTCGACGCCGCAATGGCAAACAGCGATGCTAGCAGATCGAATACAATGTCCTAAAATAATGATTAAATTTGAAAATTAAAATTAAACGAGAGTGAATTCTACAAATTTATCTTCGAATTTACCTGGCAAGGGCACATTTATTCAAAAAATGACTAGAAATTCGAATGAATAAGAAGTTGAGTATTTAATTTAGAATGTGCTATGTCTGAGAATTTAAATTTTAGATTAGGGATATTTGGCTGGGGAAAATTATTTTTGCTTATAATCTCGTAGTTTTGGTTAGTAAATAAATTCGCGTTGTGTTTATGACGATTTTAAAACCATCCTGGATAAAATATAGTTTATTTCGAAAAATCTAACATATACTTAGTATATTTGGTAATAACTCTTTTTTTGCTAATCGTAGTTTGCCTAATTATAAAAACGAAATACGGTGTAGGATTTTCAACCAAAAATACCAAATCAAGAAGTGTAAATTAATTAAAAACCCATAAATAAAAGAAAGTTCATATAAGCGTATTTCAATGGAAAGCTGTATCAACAACTTACTGTTATAGCTTAATAAATTTGAAATGGAGCAATTTGCCCCTGCGCGCTTGTTGGGTTTCCTTTAGATATAATGTCATTGGGGGATAACTAAAGATTCCAACCCAAAATTTAAATATGTTTCCATACATACCAGAGCTATCCATTTTGCGGGATGCTTTACGGTTAAACCAAAAGAGAAGATCAAAAATAAAGTAAATTCTCCTAATGTGATAACACCGGTACTAATGAAAAAAAAGTATGAATAAAATTCATCTTGACAAGGTTCTGAACTGAATATGTAAGAAATAAAGCCGCCAACTAGAAAACTCTAAAACACAGAAAAATACGTTATTTAATTTCAAATAAACGGTTTAGCCACTTACAAGCCCAAGCATCTTGATTATGCCGGTCTTCGTTGTGGGAAATTTGCCGCAAGTCAAGTTTTCCTTGACCAGTTCATCATAACTATTTGTAACTGGGGATATGTTATGCAAAAATAATTGAGATTTTCTTCTGTCTATAATTTTATCGACCATTGTAAACTGCTGAGAGAATAAACTAATATTAGCTTAACGTTATTCACTATTCTTAAGTTAAGACAATAGTAAATCCAGATAAGCCAATAACATATCGAGAGCTGATTTATTAGACAATTTTATCAGTCGACTTTCTTACAGTGATTTATTACAACTGATTTTATCGGCAAAAAATGATGTCAAAACGAACGAACACGGGTATAATTGGGAGTTCTCATTTTAATTTCATTAGTTTCTTTAAATAAAATAGTTACTAACCTTCGCATATCCTTACCAGTTCTCTAAAGTCATAATCAGAGTAGCCCAACTATTGAAACTGGCTTACTTAGTTAAATTTGACATTTTGTTATTCTGCATTTATCACTTTTTTTATTTTCTCATTAGCGCGACTGAAGTAGAGCAATTATTCTCAAGCGAAAGGAGTTTCAAGATTTAATAATTGGAGCCGAATTATGATATTCGAAAAACTGTTTTTGGAGAAGAGCGGTACAAATATATATAATTTAATATATATAAGGATAAGTACATATACAAAGTACCCGTAAGCCTGAGATATACTGAAAGTTGATAGTTACTTCGTTGTTTTAAGTGACCATAACGCCCATGCAAAATAACATTAACTAGAACTCGCAAGCTTCATAGCAGTTTATTACGGTATTTTTATTGCTATTTATACATATTGAGATTTCAATATTTATTTGTCAGTTTTTGATATATCACCACAAACACAACAACAAATAATAAAATAACTATATGTTCTCTATTTCTTTCAACACTTATTTGGATATTCTATTTTGAATAAATATCATGTAATTATAGTCTTGTGCTGCAAGAATGGTTTGCTCATCATGGCTATTTTATAAAATAAATAAAAAATCACACTCCACTTTTCAAAAAGTTTACTTTAAAAAAACTGCAAAAGTGAAAAAAAAATCAAAAGTCAAAACTATAACCAAGGGAAAAGTACAAATATCACTTTGTGCTTTTAATACACACATCTTTCATAAAAAATAAATATACAGCCCATTCATATACCAATTAGTTATCTTTATTATAATGTGGGTGAACGAAAACCACTGGGAAAGTAGGAATGTATTAAGTTTTATTTAATAATAAATTGGAAGATGTTATTCAATGTCTCTCTCAAATGACAAAATATCTCTAATTCTATTAGCTGCTTTGTACTCTTTGTGTTTCTGTTGAACTTCTTCAAAGTGAGTAAGTAAATCGGCATAATTAATTGTGGATTCTGGTTTCTTCTTACTGACTACCCTAAAATCAATTAGAATTGTCCTTGATAACTTAATTTCCAAAAGAAATAAAAATCAATACAATGTTTTTCAATTATCTTAATAAAACTAACTTACTTTTCTTGAAAATGCAATTGTAAACTCGGAATACAGCCTAATCTGGTTTTAAGTGTTGTAAAAGCTTCCGTTTGTGGAAGAAGCATTAGCAGCCCATACAAAGCTCTGACTAAATGTTTATCACAAGGTACTTCAAGCAGTTCCAACCTTAAATCTGGACATGCGATTGTACTCAAACAATCTTTACATAAAAGAAGACATTTTAAACTAAACCTGTTAAATATTTACTTACAAGCAAAAATTGGCGACTCTATTAACTGTACTAATTTGTCAATTTCCATTAAAAAGTCAACTGTCACTTCAACATCACCACTGCAAAAAAAATTAAGGAATCTAATCTGTTTATGGTGTGGGTATTCACACTGCAACTACCAAGAAATTAAAAGGATACAATGATTTTACTAAATCACATGCATGGCTGTAGCTCTGAGTAATGAAACATAAAGACACAGTTGCAATGGGATTGTGGCACCAGGTTCGATATAGCCGCAGGAATAATTCTCTGTTCTCCTAAAATTATAACATGACAGTAGAAAGTTTAATAGAAAAATGTACCAAAACCCCACTATTCCAAATCTATTAGAAGTCAACATTAGAATAATTAAATTCACTCGATACGCTTATATATTTACGAAAAAAAAAATAAACAGACCAGAAACTGTAACTGATATGATTCATGAAACCAATGACGAGAGATTTTTTTTCAATAGTGTCTTCTCATTGCTTAAGAGTAAGAAAAATTGTTTTAAAAAAACATAACCTCAAACTTGTGTAACTAGGAAACATCTAAATTTCACTACATTGCTATAAAACTGACTGTTAATCAAAATATAGACCAATTTAAATATAAAACAAAATACATAATATAAAATATTAAAAAAAAAATCATCTTTCTCCCTCCTTTCACCTCCAATTTACAAGTTATTCATATTTTTAGTGGGCACCTTTGTAGGCACTGTAAAATTATTATTTATAAATTCTCACATATATTTTATAAATGATCGATAAATACACAACTTACCAAAAACTTTAAGGCACCTACCTCAACGGAAACGTCTTTTAATCTATTTCTAAGCTCGAACAATTCAGACGAAGTAAGGAGAATAATATTCAAGTGCTCCACCATAAGACTAGCAAATGCAAGATTAGAGTCTTCCAAAAGGATTCTTGCTAATGTTCTGTATATATCCTCCGCGTTAAGTAATACACATAATTGTCTGAAATAGTAAACGTTATTTTATAGAAACACACAAATAACCATATTAAAAAGTCTGATAACCTCCCCTACCTAACTTAGAAAAACAAATGCGGGTGCTAATATAATCTATACCTGATTATGAATGATCCCCGTTCATCTAGGAGTTTTTTATCAATACTGAACGAATTAAGTAAGCTGAAGATAAATTTATTGTAGTACGTATTGCTATCTGGAAATATGCAAAAAGAATGCAAGTCAAATATACCTCTAGTGTCATTTATATTCACCATCATCTACATATCTTGATTTAGGTGATGATATTATTTCAGCTATGACAACCAGACATTGTTGTACTACTTGGTCTGACTGATCTGATAAAGTTCTTTGAAGAGCCGGAAATAAAATATCTATGTACTCGTCCATCTGAAATATTTCATTTTTGTTATGAGAAATAATGGTCTTATGCCCAGATGATGTTAAATAAGTCAATCCCCATTAAAGTTTTGTTTGTAATATTTATAGCAACTGTTAATTTTACCACAAAATTATAGTCAACAATCCCATTCCATTTGAACTCACCTCAGTAGGTAATTTAAGGTAAAGATCGTGAATCCACTTCAGAACGGCAACTTTGGTTTGGATGGAATTATGTAAAACATATTGGGTTAACACATCAATAACAGATGGCAAATCTATATCATATGGAATGTTTTCTGCACAATCTGAAACAAACATAATGGTACCAGACTACAAAATTATCTATAGTCTAAAAGCACCTCTGGGTCTTATATTCACTTGCTTCCCCTGATCGGTTTCCTGAAGTGCAATCAGCTTCATCAAAGTAAAATTCACTGCTGTCGCTGTTTCCTTAATGTCTGTCACTAAATTAAGGAAAAAATATGTAAAATCATAGAATAACTAAAATGAAAATTACATTGTTTTCCCAATTATGCTAAATTCCCAAACCTTTCAATAAGCATGTTTAAAGCAATATGACCACAGCACAATAAGTATAGCATATAGCAAATCATTACATAAAAATGTGTTTAGTGGAAAAAAAATAATTGTTATCATAGTGCAATTATGTTAAATGTGTGTTAAAAACGAAATATAATAAAAATAAAGCAAGGATACTTCTCCTAGCCTCCGTTTCATAGGCCAAACATGGTAGAATTGCTGTAAAAATTCCTGACATGAATGGCAACATAGCTGGTCCAGAAAGTTGGACAAATTCTTTTATCCATGTGATTGCAGTAAACTGAAAGGTAGAACAGATCTATAAAACAACTTTTAAAAATAATGAGCAAATTAAAGAAGCAAAGTATTAATCCAAAATTATTTATTAATTAAATAAATAAGTTTTAATTGATCCTGTGATTGTTAGCGATGTTTAATAATGGGAATTTACAATTATTTCCCTATTCATAAATGGCACGCCTGACTAGGAATTAACTTAATGTGACAATTTAAGTAACAAACTTTATATTCTTAATTACAGTTTGCCAATTTAAACCTTGAAAAAAGTAGTACCATATATATACAAATATTAACATAAAAAAGAGTGGACACCACAAATTGCAACAGTAGTAATATTTTGTAATATGTATTGTAAATGGCTAAGTTGCTGCACCGTTAGAGGGGGTTATAGCTATTGTTAGGTGGAAAAATGCATTTCACTAAATAATGTGTTATTATAAGTTTTAAAATAATATGACCACTGTAATCCTTGTAAAATTCTGCATCGATTTTAGTTGTCAGGCATGAAATATGGGCGTAGAGGAAAGGCTGTTTGAAATGCCTAGAATAGTAGTTTCATTCAACATATTTGATCAAATTAGAGAGAGAAAACTATTAAACTTTTACCCATTTACCATGAAGGGGTAGATAAACAATACAATGTTAACATGCAAATATAAAATAAATATCTTACTTGTACTAAATCATCACTTTTCTCCTGTGCATGGTTGATTAAGATGTTTATCATGGCCGCAAAATTAACTCTAGATGGTTCACTTTTAATACTCCTTAGAAATTCTCCCAATGTTGTTTCACACATTTTTTTAACTTCCAAGCTTGCATCATCTAATATCCTAAATAAGCCATCCAATAACTCAGGCAAATAGCTTACTAAGTCTAGACTTGGCTCTGTATTTAATACTGAAATCCAGGAGATGATAAATTGTCTTGAAAAAGTACTTCTTGTATATATTCTTTCTCTGAGTAGTGGGATAAATCCATTTAAATCAAAAGATGGACTTTCAGTAACGATGTCCTAAAATATAAAATCATATATGTTTTTCTACTCCTTACTCTAAAATTCCCAATTATGCACTGATTAAGAGGGCAGAAAGAATCACTTTAAGACCTTAGCTTTGTTATCACCGAAACTTAAGTATCAGCTTTGGCAGCGGACAGATGCTCTCAGTAGATATATTGCCAACAATAATATTTTGGCGTTTGTCAATTTTGAGAGGCGCGACATAAGTGATTTAGTGAATTTATTCATTCCTCCTTCGTAAAAATGAACACAAAAACTAATGGTTGTAGAAAGTAATACCTGAACTGGGTCCCATCAGTGTTTAATGAAACCAAAGTTTTAAGGTGACATGCATCAGTAGAAAAAATATTTTTTATTACCAGACTTTATTATTTATTTATTATATACTATAATATCAAATTTCAAAAACATTTTAAGCAGTTGTAAATTAAACACAAACTGAAATTGGAATTACCTTTAACAAACGGTCCAATAATTCTGAAGCATTCTTAATACTTTGATCTGGATCTATAGCAATTTTACTTAAGCAATTAAAAATTGTTGGAAATTGTGGTAACACAGCTCCTCTAGCTACTTTCACCACATTAAACAAAGACTCACAAGCATAATAACGGACACTTAAGTCTTGATCTGAAAAACATCCTAGTATGGGCTTAAGTAATTCTTCTATAAACAAGCCAGTCTCCTACAAGTTGGTGTTGGTATAAGTTGCTTTGCTTCATTTCTGTGTGCCTCCTACCTTTCCTAAAGCAATTGCAACTGCAGATAGGCCAATCAGGCCCCCTTTTCTGGACCGGGGATTCGAAGACAGCGCAAAATCTTGCCCTAGCACTTTTAGCAGTTTCTTAATTTGACCTGTATTGTTTACAGCAGCGAATTCTTTTACCATTCTGAGAAAAAAATCTAATAGATGAATATACCCCCCCAGAGACGTACCCACTTTTCAATTTCTAATGCTGCCGTTTTTCTTTTTTCATATATTTTGTCATTTAACGCCCGTACACAAGCTGCGGTAAGAGGGGCATGATCTTTGTCTGACATGGCAAATTAAAAGTGCTACCTTCAGAGAAAATAAAATTAGAATCTATTTACAGAGCTTAAAAGTTAACCTAAAATTACTTCATTTGTCCATGCAAGATTCCTAACAACCTATTGATTGGGATCATTCGCCCATTCCCCGTATCGTTCACATACTAACTGAGAGGCTATATAGTTTAGACATAAAAATTGTTTCATAATGGTAAATCTTGATTGATGTAACCGTTTTACTGATCATATTGCCCTTAATATGAAACGACTTAGTCAATGTTTTTTTAGCCACAGCAGTCTAATATGAAATTAACAATCACGCGCCGAAACTCTACGAAATAATCAATGTCGAGTGCGGCGCATCAATGTTTCCCGTAGTAGGAACATATATAATCTAAAGCAACCTATACACATACAGTGTTAAGACTTGCCTGTAGAGGTCGAGACACGCTAGTAAGTGCGAATGTATGTGAGTCAAAACTCAAGGCGTGTGTCTGAGTTTTAGAGCTTATGCGAAGGCCAACTTCATTTTTCGTACAGCAGCAGGCCCCACCAACTGGTGAACTTCAAGGTTTACCTGAATAGTGTGTGGAAGCAATTCGTTTCGCACTTGCTCGCGGAGTTACATGGACACACTTGCGCGCGGACTTGCCTGCATGTGTATAGCTCCCATAAGAGCTACATGACTTTGAGCCATATAGCTACAGTCATATTTTCGTAGAGAAGGTAATGATTATCCGCCCATGTCTCTACATTTCACCTAGTAACTTGCACTTTGCGCCATTCTCTTTTTAAACAGCGATTTCCAGACATTTAACTTGTTTTCCCAGAACGTTTACCGCAATCTAGGCATATTTTGAAAAAACACCGTCCTAAAAATACCGTATACAAAATTATTGACGATCTGTCATCAGCCATCTTGTTTGTTGAATGCTACAAGGTCATTCGTTGAAAACGAGATTTTAAATCTCGCTCATATGCATGTTAAATGGACCTTCTGAAAATTTTTTTCATAGTTGTTTCATAAGTTCCTGTATTAACGATATTGGCAAGAGCTCTATATCTCTATTAGCTGTATGCTCAATGAACATTATTGAACCATTGTTGGTTAAATTAAATTATTCTGTGGGTCTATGATCAAATGAAAAATTTTCTTGACGGATATCGGTACTGGGCGACTGTCCAGGGTAGACATGTCCACATGAAAAGCAAAGAATAGTAGTGAATCTGTGGGATGGAAACAGGCAACATGGCGTTGGATTTAATATTTTTAGCGTCCACCTATTTTTGCAATATTTCTTGAGATCTTTCATGGGAAGAATAATTTCAAAGTATAAATTTTACTTGTCTGTTAATTGTTTATTGTTGAGTCCAGGAAGAAATACTTAATGTTCGCGTAAGTGTAGCTAGTCAATTTTAGGTCACTAAGCAAAATCAGTTTTCTGTTATAATAATATACACAATTGTACATATCACTAGTCAATAGGTGCTTAAGATAAATTAAATTATGTTTGTTGATTTTCTATTACAGGTAATACCCTGGCTAGAGGATCTGATGTCTTTTTGCAGGAAAATTTGCACGGTTAGTAGTTTTTAATCTATTTTTGTATTTTGTCCTTTATTAATAAAAATTTAGGGAAGGGAAAATGGATTGGCGCGGGGCAGTGCCGCAATTTTAGTGGAGGGACATGCAGTCTGAGTCAAGCCGGTATATTAACTCAGTATCAGATCTTCTTTATAGCCCTGACGAAATTGAATTCTTGCTGGAGGATATTAGAGACCTGGAGCCCACAAACTTTAAACCTGAAGATATTCAGGTATATTGTAGACAGTGCATGGAAGTTATTTAATTTACAATTAGTAGTTTTTTATTTTGTATTTTATAATTTTAATTTGTTATAATTGATTGTTTTTTTTTTGTTAATAAACATAGTTTTTGTTGTTTATTTTACTCCATCTTTTATATCTGAATTGACTGCTATCAACGGCAAATATTGGATAATATTGCCAAATTTAAGAAATTAAGAGTAGACAATATTTATCTGAATCAGTGAATCATCAGCGGATATTTTAACAGAAAATGAGATGAAGAGCCTTTTCGAACACAATTTTCATTTTGCAAAAATGTGACAAAACGTGTTCTTTTAAGGACAGGGGAGACAAATGTTGAATGAATAAGATTTTAATATTTCACATGATTCTGGAATATTTTAGTTAGGTATGCAACAATTATGAACAATATGTTTAAGTTTCAATCAAGTTAGGTTACAAGTGGATTTGCGTGGCACTCTGGAAGTAACAATGGAATTAGCCACCCAAAGTAATTATGAAAAACTGCTCTATTTTCATGATAAAATAGGTATATAGATTTAGACATATAGATATCATTGATTTTAAATAGCAGATAGAATTTTTGAATAGCGCAACACAAGACAAACTTCTCTATTAAAAACCTTCTAGCCGAATATTGCAAGGATATAATCCACTCCACTATTACTATAATATATTTATAAAAAAACTAACAAACTAAATTCTAATTGAACTTTTGATATTTTCAATCCAAGAAATCATTTTTTTGGAGTGAGGCAAATAGTAAGGAAATTTTGGTAGCACCTTTTAGACACCCTTTTGAAAAAATCTTCAAAAGCATTCTCTAAATTTATTATAAGAGACATAAAATCTTAAAACTTGTTTTTCTATAAAATAAAATTATTTTCTACTCCCGTCTGTAAAATACCTTATTACACACCGATCTACCGTACGGGAAGCGTCACTTTACCACGTCAGTTTCGGTTCCCACGGATCCGAGCCACTTCGGACATTTCCGCGATTTTGTCGCATGGTTTTGGGAGCAATCGGATGTTTTTGGAGGTATTTCCCACGCCTTGAATTTTCACGTTCGTCAATTCTGACAGCGATGTCAGTGAATGTATTCGTGTTGTTTGGCGAAAATGTAACCAAAAACTAACGGTCGTAGAAAAAGTATAGTATGCAACACGTTCGGTAAACTTTTTAAGTCACTCGTTTATTAAACACACGCTCCGCTCGTGTCAAATAAACTCATGTCCCGTACTGTACTCACGGGTTTGGAAGCAATCGGGTTGTTTTCAGTAGATTTTAGCCACGGATGGTATTATTTTATTCAATTCGGTGGATCACGGTCACAGTCACATATTCTCAAATATTTTTGGTTAGTTAAAGTCAGTTTTGGTTTTGGATTAACGATTTAACTTCGAGAGTCAAGTTCACCGGCGGGCCAGACACTAGTTGATAAACTTGTTCAATCACTCGTTTATTAATCACTGCGCTCATGCCAAAACAAACTCATAACTAAAATAAATAAGAACTAAAAGTTCAGATTTTTACGAAATTATATATTTTAACATGACAATTGTTTCGACAACACCGTGTCTTCTTATTCACCATAAATTTGATAAAGACACGGTGTTGCCGAAACAATTGTTATGTCAAAATATATAATTTCGTGAAAATCTGAACTTTTAGTTCTTATTTATTTTGATAAATGGATTTCCATCAAGTAAAAGCCACCTCTGTTCATAACTAAAATGACGTTTACCAAACTTATTGCATGATATACTATTTTTATGGCCGATATATCAAAAGTATTTCGATTTTTCTGGTTTGCTTGGCGATGTTTTCAATCAATAACTCAAATTGCTTCCAAATTTATAGACAAAGTTGATTGATTGATTTTGACTTAAAAGTATGTTTATAGACGCAAGATAAAATCTTACTAACAAACAAAAATTCTAATTTTATTGATTATTGCAATAATAATAATGATAATTAATATTGGGATTTTTTTTCAATTCTTCTAGCTTATGTTTTTATCTATTATTGCTAATAAAGAAATATATGTTGCAGGACTTTGAGATAGCAGGAAGCCGAACCGGCGCCCTCAGCACAGAATGTGCAGTTGGTGGATGCGAATGCGAATCACCTTTGGGTACCGTCAACTCCTGGGATTCACATTCTCATTATCGCAAGAGGGTGCCATCTCCCGATTTATCCATTTACTCAGGTGTCATTATTTACTGCGATCGCGAACATCTCAAAACTCCCACTGGATTATTCCGCCTTCTTTTGCTGGTATATCTTTTGACAATTTTGTGCCTTAATAGTCCGGTGGATTGATTTTGCTCTTGTTGACAGGGAACTACAATAGCATGCTTGGCATGCTTATGCACCTCTGGAACTGTGAAAGTGGGAATCTTCATGCTTCCGCTGGTGGGGCGCATTCGTTTAATGATGTTCGTTACTTTACTAAGTATGTTTCTAACTTGTCTGTTGCTGTTTCTTGACATTTCCCACATAGTGTACCTCTTCCCTTTTAACTGGGGTAAAGTGGTAAGTATAATGTAATACATTAAGTATAAAAAAAAGTCTGAGCAGAATTTATTATCAATATTTTTCTAAAGAAATTTCCACAGGCTATTGTAATACTATTTACAAGTCGTCTGGATTGCTCCTGCTTCGGTTGTTTATATAAACTGTTTATTATTTATTTTGAGTTAAGCTCTGAAGAAGCCAACAAGATAATTAGCTAACCGCCAGCAAGTTTGAATTTAAAACAGCCGACCCAGGAGCAATCCACAAGATTTTAAATACTATCATTAATTGTGTTTAACTGATTTTCCATAAATTTTAAATGCTGAGAATATTTTATTTAATTTTTTATTTGCTCTAGGTTCTATTATTTTACTAAAGAACTCTGAACTATGACAAGTTAAGGCGGTGACATTTTGGAGTATACCTAATGTATGTTTCAGAATGGATATTTATACGTAAGCCTTAGTGTGTTGTTCCTGGTAGCTTCATCACTTATTTTCCACATGATATTTTTATCAGAGGCCTTCTCTTGGGTACCCAAATGGACACATCACCAATTATTAGTCACTGGAGTAAGCATACTGACAATTAACCAAAAACTCATAATAGTAGTTAATGAATATTATTTTATCATTTTAGTGTTTGGGATATGTGTGCTGCATAGAGTCAGCTATGTTGTGTTTAATCCAAAAATTTAATATAAGACATTACGAATTGGTTGGAGAAGATCCAAGTTTGACTTTACAAGAGAGGCAGCCTTCTCCAGGAGCGACGCCAGAACATAAGACATCAAATCAATCCACGCACAATTACAAGCCTATCTTAAATATACCATCATCAGCTACAACTAGCAGACAGAAACCAATTAATTATTTAGATGATGTCCAGCCATGTTCATCCAAAAGTTCAGGTCCATATAACGTGATAGGAATAGCATGATATCTAGGGACGTTAATAATAATTTCAGTGAGATAATATGTACGATCTTATTAAAGACTTACAATTTAGATCTTTACAAACAGTGGATATGTAAATAGTAGCTCTGGCTATTGATTACATTATAATGCCTTCGGGTTTTCCTAATTTTGAAAAATTGAAATAATTTCTTATTGCACTTTTTTCTCGACAAAAAATTATTTAGTTTGCTAAAAAAATTGAAATTTTTAGATGTTGGGAGGAAGTAAAATATTGTCAACCATATCGCAATAACCAGAACCAATATTTACATATATTTACTGCAAACTTGTCTGCAAATACTTGTAAATGTTTTATTCTTCATGCAGAATTAAAATATTTGGTTTCTATCACATATAACGGTAATTTAAATTTCATACAAAGTTCTAATTTTTCTAAAAACTAAATACACTGCAGTCGGGAGTTAAATCAATTTAGATGTGTCTTCGTTGTTTTTGTCGTTAGGTATTGAGTTCCAGTCCGTTATTCAATGGTATTGAGGAAGCTGTTATGTATTACTATTTTGTTAGTTCCATAATTATTATAGAATAATTTATTTTTCAATACATACATAAACCATAAAAGTTGGTATCGAAACTCTTGTCGATTTATGTTGATGAGACAGCAACCTGAATTAATTGTCGCTTCTGCACCTATTGCCACAGTCAAGTAAAACGGTTAAACAAAATAATTCTTTTTGTGCAGAATATTTTTCAAATTGTTTTGCAGTTATTTACAATTGTTACATTTTCCTGTTTTCGCTTTAATTTTTTGTTCTTATGTTATCATTTTAACGTATCATATCCGGAAATTAAGATATAGTTTTAAAGGGTGATCCTGTATCTAAAATAACCCCGAAGATATAGAGTATTAAACGAGCAGTGTTTGTTTTTTATCATAACTCTTGTCACTCAAGAGTCATTTTTATGATAATTAGTATATAAAAAGGTATATTATCACATTAAAGGTTTTTAAAGTTCCAGCTGTGGCATCGGTACAAGGTAGGGTGTAAAATTAATATTTTTTAGAAATGAATTGGTACGCCACCATGCTTTGTAAAAAAAAATTACAACAAATTCGCCCCCTTGTTTTTTTTATCGCGTACCGTTCTGAGACACAGAAACCATTTCCGCGTCAATAATTATCAAACACCGTCCAGCGCTCAATCAAATTGTGTTATGAATGTAATACAATGTGTGAAATTGGTTTTTATTTTTATGCAAAAAGTACGAGTTGTAAAAAAAAGAGGAACCGAGTGTGTTAATTTTATACTTACCACAAAAGCAGTGGCATACAATTTTTGTTTGTATCAAAAATATTCATTACAAACCTTTAGCTTCTCGTATATAACAAATTACGTTTTATGTTAATTTTAGAATCACCTTTTAAAATATATATTTTTGCAAATTTCACTTGTGTGTTGACGATACTGAAGGATATTGTTGTCGTTTTATTTCAGTTTCAACAAATGCGATTACGGGTAAAATCAATTTAGTTTTTAAGGCATGTAAAAGCATTTTTGAGTATTTGCAGAAAATACAGGTTTAGTTGTGGTTAGTTAGTTAAAAATAGATAGTAAACAAATCTCGTACAGTATTTTTTTATGATTTTTAGATAATGTAGGATCAGATTTTGCAACTCTTAGCATTTGATAAATTATTAAAAAAAAAATTTCATGGATTTCATTCTTTTCAAATATATTGTAAGGTGTCATACTTTCAAGACAGGTAAATGCATAATTATAAAAAGCCCACGCGTGTTTCGTAGGGATAAATATTCATTAATTGAATAATAATATTTAAACAAACTGCGGATATAAAAGCATCAACAAAATGTATTATATATATAAAAAAAAACAAGGATACTTTTATTGTTGTCTAACAGTGCCAAATATCTAATATAACTTGACTTACATTATTGAATTCAGTCGTTTTAGGTAGGCAATTTAAAAATTTCCAAAGTCCGCAACACAAGCAATACAACAAACACTACACAATATTACAGAAAAAGCCCTAAATAGTCGCATGTTACTGTGGGCGTAGAATATGTGCTACTAAAATAAAATTGATGTCCACTATATTTTGAGATTAGATATGATTTGACAAACCAACAATTTTATTGGAAACCAAAGTAGAAAACTATTATCATAGTCAAACATAAAACCAACATTACCAATATATAATTAAGTAATAAAACAAATTACAGAATTCAAAATTATCGATGCAACCTATTACATTAAACAATATTTACGCCCTCTTCTGTAATATATTACGAAAGTTAAGGAATTCTTGAATGGAAACTATAATAAATCTTATTGTCAGTCACTAATCAGATATATTAAGTTAGTTTCCAATGTTCAACTTTGTGTTTTGTAATATAGTAAGGACTTTAATTATGAAGCATTGGCATGTTTTTACAATTATGTGAGGCGTGTCATTCATGCAGCAAGCTTAATAAATAGAAAATAGATATTGTCAGTCTAAATTACATAATCATATATTTTTTTGGTTTTCTCAAGAAAAACAATTCAACATTGTCAAACCGAATGCAAAATGAAGTCAAATCTACAGTAGCGTAAGTCCAATTTCCTGTGTAGAAGAGTAAATGAGCATTTGTGAGTCCTCTGCTGCCCTGCTCAAGTTAAAGTTGCAATAACACCAATTTAACTGATACTTTTATAAGTAATTGCAGCGTCTGTTGGACAATTATGATTGTGAGTTGGTTTCTGAAATAGCATTCGCCAACAGTTTACAAAGATAATAATAAAACAGTTGTGACGTTTACAAATTCTGCATACACAATTATTGATAGCTTACTTTCTAATAGTGCGAATTAATTAAAGTTTTCAAAACCTTATGGGATCCCTATTTCAGTCATATAAAGTATTTAGTGGTAATTAATTAATTTAGAAAGGTGCATATTTTATGCAAAATCCATTTGATTTTTTTTAAATAAAGAATGATTGAAAATCTTTCAGTATCTACTATATTCAAATAATTTATTTTGTTTTTCATAAACATTTTTTGTTATGGAACATTTCTGGATTATTAAGAAACCAAATGGTGGTATTTTGGTTGAGTATCAGCTTTATGGAAAAGTTCAAGAAACCAAGTGTATATTTAAATTGACAATAACTCTAGTAGTTCCCCAAACAAAAACAAAATTGAAAGCAAGTGCATCAAAATGACAAAATATGTATTATCAGTTAAGAATAATAGTCATATTGTTGTGTGGCACTAAAATGTTTTAATTGATCCAAATATCTGTACTTTCCTTGACAATGATTTGACTCAAATATTAATAATGTAGTATGGCTTACATTTACCTGTTGATAAAAAATGAAATGTTTTGAAAAAGTTCTTGTCTTCTTTAAAAATAGCAATGTAATTGAAATAGAAATGTTCATATAATTATTATTCCTATCTTCTAGTCACATAAGAATTACAATATTTATTTTGGGCATTTATTAGTTTGAGTAAGCTATTAAGCATTTATGTTCATAAAATTATTTGTACCTGTATTTTATATTTCTGTAGTCCTAGGTTTTAATAAATTATATTATTATACTTGCAACTTTATTACATTTACAAATTGACCTTTTAAATATAAGCCTTCCTACCTTAGGCAGTTTTTTCAAAAACTCTAGAAATTAGGTAGCTGTTATTAAAAGTGTACACTCGGAATCTAACAAAATGCAAGGCCATTTGTTTCAGATGAATCTGGCAATGCGGAAATATAAAAAAAATACCAAATTTCAAAAGATTCTTATCATAAACATCTGTATTGAGTAGAGCAATTTGCTTCTTGTCTCATGATGCAAACAATGTTAATACAGAGGTTTCCATCTGGGGAGGTATTATGCTGCCTGTGTGTGTGTCTACCTTTACATAAATGTAATTTGAATTTCAATTCCTCTGTTTTGAAATTTGTGAGGAATGTTTAGGAAATCTTAAGATTGGTTTATTTATAATTACTGTTATTTAGGTTTACTATAGAATGTTACAATAAAACAATGAAAAATGTTCTTTCTGTATTTATTATTCCAGATTTTATGTGAGTGACATATTGATATATACACTCCTTTTATTCAGTTATCATGTTTTCTTCTTTTTCTGTAAGTTCTAATCTTTTTGGGCCATAGAGAAGAACATATGCGCAGTGCCAATCTCCTAAAATTAACAAGCAAAAAATTGTATTTTTCATAACACATTCACATTATCTATTCAAAATGTAATCTCTTAAAGTGCATGATGAAATAAATAGCTAATCACCTCCTCCTGAGAGTTTGAGAATGTCTTCAGTGGTAACAGGGATAATTGCGTCATCATCACATTTCACCCAATTGTCTCCGGACATTCTTATCCAGCCCACATAATGGCCACTAGACGATGAACGTCCTCGATGTGTTAAAACAGCTTGTAATATATAATATCCGCTATTGTTACTACCCAAGTCTGCAAAAAGAAAGTAAATGAGGTTTTATTATAAACTGTTATACTATTAAATGCTTACCATCTTCAAACCAGTAAGGAGCATATTTTTTATCCTCTTTTTGTTTGCAGTCACCTTTGTCCTTATCCTTTGTTGCTGCTGCCGCCTCTACTTGGGCATCTTCCAATTCCTAAAAATCGATTATTGAACCAAAATGCATTAAATGCAAATGTGGATAGGATCAGTTCAACTTACTTTAAATTTACTTCTAATAGGAGCCAACTTTTCCTGGAGTTCTGGTGTGCATATATCAAATGCATCAAATTCCATGGGAAACTTTACATCTTTCAGTATTTTGGCATTGATTGATTCTTTCTCTTTATAATAAAATCTAACAAATTGAACAGTTAAATAAGCTGGTAGGCGAGAAATCCTTGACTAAAAAACAGTATTAAAAATATTTTGTATAATTTGTAAATTAAATCTTACCGTTTTCGTGTACACTGCATCCCTATCTAATGTTAATGATTTTTTGGTAATTTTCTCCTGCATTTTCTAAAAATCAATAAAACACATAAGCAAAAAATTTACATAAAGATGAAATATTTGTAAAATGGATGGAAAATGTGACATTTGTAAGAAATAAGGAATGTTCTTTGCTAAAAGTAAAATTAGAAATTAAAGTATACAATAACGATAAAAATTTGAAATCTTTAGTTAAAGCTTGATTGTTTGACATAGAGTCAAATATATGACTTCTGCTTCATTAAATTTAAACTATTTATGAACCTACACTCACCGATTTAAGCCCGGAATGCATGTATCGAACATCTTGTGAAATAAAACAACTTAGCTGTAAAAATTGTTCTTTACTCTTTGCAATATTTTCATCTGGTGCTTCATCACATTTTAATTCAACATCAAATGTTCCTCCAAAATATTGATCTACTAATGACCTAAAAGTTTACTTAATCATTCGAGGTATGATTTGTCAAGCAAAATTATTTTGTAATATGGTTTAGGTAAAACCCAGCAATAATTTTCCATCCATCCATCTGTCCCAAAATGTAAGTCACATAAAGACAATGGAAGTTAGAATTAGCAGGTTTGGGTCTATTACTTACTTATATTGTTCTTGTTCACTTGGTTTTGCAGGCAACTTTTGTTGCAACATCCTCACCAATTCTGTCCAAAATTCATTAGCATCCTAAAGAAAACAGTTCTATGTAAATAAAGTTTTTAATGTTATTAAGACTATAAAAATAACACCTGTTGTGCGAATCCTCCATGTTCATTTTTTTCAGCAAATCTGGGGAACGCCATATGCAAGACTTGTAAAAGTACAATGGGAGGCACAGTATGACCCTTATCCATTGTCGAATAGAGATCTCTAAGGGCGGCTGTGATTGATTGGGCTGGTATTACTCCACCCGCCGCAGCAACTCCTGCCAAAGATAGTTTAATTGATGAAATTGTATTTTTTTAAAAGAAAAATCTACTCTATAACAAATATTCTAAAGGTGTAAGTTCTTATTATGGAAAAAATACCCTCAACTACTCAAAAACAAACACATTTTACATTCATACCTCCTTGATAATTTTGAAGAGCCTCTCTCAGTTCAGGAACAGTTCTAAGACACTGTACTGTAGCATTCATATAGCATGTATTTCCTAAATTTGTCAAACCAGCTGGCAAATCTAACTATAAATATATGAAATTGAAAGCAAAAAATTATTTAAAAAAATGTGCAACATACAGCAGTTGCTAATTCACTCTCATTCATATCTTCTACAAACACAGTTTTTTCTACAGGCTCTTTTGGAACATCTTCCTCTTTACTACCCATTAACAAAACAGTTACACCCTTAAACAAAGGAATAAAAATTCATGACTACACAATTGCAATGTACTTACATCCTTCAGGCTGAAATTTTCCCAACTATCGTCTTTTAACGTGACCCCTTTGATCATAACTTTTTGTCTTTCTGGTTGGACACCAGTTAAGGCAAAGAGCTGAGCCTTAAACAACATTGGGGGTTCTTCGTTATTAACTTCGATATCTTTAAAACTTTCTTTTCCCCATTTTACTTTAACTAAAATATGAAGATATACTTACTTTACTCAAGTTTATAATTAACAAAACATAAATATGTAATCTTGCGGTGTCCAAATATAGGTTAAGCCAACCTCTCGTTTCAACTTACTCTTATATTGCGGCATGCTTGTTTCGCTGGTTATTTTTTACCAAAATATAAAACTGTACAAAAGTTATAGAAATACTAACACACTGTTCCTGCTTTACAAAATTTTGTGTTTCCAAATATTACTACCAAATTTACTAGTCACAGCATGAGAAACACAAATCACAGTATTTGTTGGTTGGTAAATTTTAGACAGTTGATCAGTCCTGCTGTTACCAACTGAATCATTACAAAGAATGAAAGTTTCCAGATGTGAGAGTAAAATTTGCCTTTCCTTTATAATTTGCTGTGGTTATTCGAGGTTGACGGGTAGAAATGCATTATTATTTGTAACTCATTGTTGTTTCCGTTCTTTTGTGTTTAATTAGATCGTTTGAACTTTGTAAGTTTTACAGATAATATATCGGTAATGTTCGATTTCGCGACGAGTGTGTGAAAAAGTTCTAAAAATGGGCAATTGTTTTGGCGAACCCAAAAATCCTAATCCTAGACCACAGAGGGAACGATCCGATCCCATCGAAGAAAACATTCAACAAAATATTCAACAGGTAAATCCTGTGCAAACAGCAACTCCTTCAGAGGCCGTGAGACCTCCAGCAGAACCCGAACAGCCCAATTCAAGAATATTTGTGGCGTTATATGATTATGATGCTAGAACTGATGAAGACTTGAGTTTTCGGAAAGGTGAACACTTAGAAATATTAAATGACACTCAAGGTGATTGGTGGCTTGCGAGGAGTAAAAGAACGAGACAAGAGGGTTATATTCCTTCTAATTATGTTGCTAAGTTAAAGAGCATTGAAGCAGAACCGTAAGTACCAATTTCAGCTAGTGGGAGAAATTAAGTTTTTTATTTAAGCTATGTAATATAAAACGGGATATTTGTAGATTCAATATCGCAATAATTTATTTTGAACTAATAGTGCAACAGAAGTTTCCTTCCAATATTTTAGTAAAAACACTTTGGAAACTAAACTAACCAAAACTAAACCGTCTCTTTTTTTAATCACTTTATGGTAATCATTGAGGGTATTTGGATTGATTTTTCACATTGTAATACTTTACAAATTAATATCTTCTTTCAATCATAAAACCCAGTATAAGATGGTTTTACAGCGTACTCAATATAACCATTTCTATTAGATTATTATTACATCTGTAGGGGCGGTTAATATGGCAACATTGATACAATTTAAACGAGTATGACATACTCGTTTAAGTTGTCGTTTTTTCTTCAAAAACTTAATATCATCTAGGCATTTTTTGAGAAAATTGTGTTTGTTGCCTTAAAAGGCAACTGAAAATTTTCGAATACTGGAACTCTAAGCGATTATATTGAAAACTTAAAAGTCTTATTGGTTGAAAGCGAATTTTGGAATAAGTATCGTCTTCAGCGCATGCCCCTAAATTTCATAGATTAATCTGCATTTTGCGTCATTTTCATTCTAAACAGCGATCTCCACATTAACTTTTTTTACCTGCAAATTTAATGGAATCTTCGCCATATTGTGACAAAATACTGTCAAAAAAATACTACTTCCGAACTGAAAACTATTGAATTGCGGAACTCTCAGCTACCATATAGATTGTCGGCCACCGCAATATGTTCTTGGCTAAAAGCGACATTTGAAATAAGAGGTCTTATTGAATTAAGAGGAATTTCCGTCAACATTTTTTGATGTTCGCTTCAAAACTTATATGAATATAATATATACAAGCAGATCAAACGAGCGAGTAGAACCGATATTCTTTTTGTTTGTTGTAGTATTAGTTTTAATCCACTTGCGAATATGTAAACAAAAACACTCTTAGACGCATATAAGCGTTGTTATTCTTCAATATTCCTGACTAAAACAGAAACGAGTGAAAGTGTGCACTCTTGCTCACTTTGCAAATAGCTCAACTTGGCATCTTGTATGCATATTTGCATATAAAAAAAATCGGTTCAAGGAAGCCCATTTGTTAAAACTTAAAAAATTTTTCGTGCTGTTTTTAAAAAAATCCTTAGTAAAAGAATTCGTCGTAAAAGAAAAAAAAATTTTAGTAGTGCTGATTTCATACGAAATTTGAAACTTTCACTTTTTAAATATTATATTTACGGAACGAGTGTATCTTTTGAACGTACATTTTTTGTAAAAGGCAAAAAAATTCTTGTAACTGGTAATGTACAACGAATGTTGGCACTATCGCCATAAAAGTTTGCATTTTCCAAATGTTTTAAAAGAGAAAAAAATATCAAGTAGCGTTTTATTAGTATTTTAGTTTTTTTCATGAATCTCTAGGACATCTGACCACTTGGCCGCATTTAATGAAAAACAGCAAACAGATGTTTGGAGCATAATTAAAATTTGCTTCTGTTTGTTTTAAGGGGCTGAACGGGAAAGTTTGCGACTCATTTTTTTTACTATAAATGTATCACAAAAAAGTGGCATCTAATCCATAAATAAATAAAAAATTTAGTACAAATTTAAATTTTTTGAAGAAAACAGTACGCGATATTTTTTTCTTTTACCACAAATTTACGACAAAAAGTGATTCATTCCGTAAATAAAATATTCAGGAAGTTCAGCAACTTCTAAGAGTGCTAATTTTAACATGATGTTAGAATTACTAGGGACTAGAGATTTAAAAGAGCATGCATTACCAGATATTAAAAAAAAACCGTGCCCGACAATCTTTTCTTTTACGACAAAAAAAAAGGACGACTAAATGCATACATAAACCGTGGTAAATTTAAAATATATAATTTTTTTAGGAAAAAAGGTACGAAAAATCGTAAAATTATATTTTCATTAATAATTGTCCATTTTTTAAAAGCAAAAAAAAACCGGAACATTCGGCAGAAAAAACTCTCAAAAATATATTGTTTTTTAAGTGTTGATTGACCTGTTTTATAATAGTTTGGAATTTTCCTGGTTAAAATTCAATACTTGCGATGAAAGAATGAGCGCATTCTGTCTGGGAGTAGATACAACGGCCCGGTCGAGTGCTTTTTCCACTTTTCATGCCCGGATATTTATCCCAGAGTTTTGAAAAAGTGGAGCTAAATGGCTTTCTTTGTAAATACATACATCTTTCGTAATTTCGACTTTATTTAGTTTTTAATTCAAGTTAAAGGTACTAGTTTATGAAACTATACGCTTTGCGTCGATTTCTAGTTACAAATTCAAGAAAAAAAATAGATGTAAAAATTGCATAGTGTCTACCAGGCTTTAGAAATGGATTTTTTAAATATTATATGTTGTTCATATAACGTCGCCACCTCGTGCGTTTAACCACAGGAATAAACATTGTTGTAAAACCGTTTAAATTCATTCATCACGCGAACATAAAAAAAAACATAATTCTTGATCTCGGGAAGCTTTTAAATTATGTTACTTCAATGAAATATAAAGACATTCTGACGTTATCGCAATTATGCACATTTTTAGAATTATTTATTGAAACCGTGATTGTTAACTTATTCCGGTTTCCTCGATAAAATGCCGAGTGCTGTTTTGTGGTTAGTATTGCGGCATCATCTCTCGACAAATTTCACATACGGTTTTTGCGTTTGTAATTAGTATGCGCAATGTATTTGTTTACTTATTCCCGCGGAAATCCAATCGTGAAGATATTATTTACGTGAAGGATCTTTTCCCGTCAAAATTTAAATTTCCAGCTTTAAGGATGTAAGTAACTGGATTTATGGTCAATTTCTTACCTATGTTGGTTTGGTCTGTGTTTTATAATTTTTAACGGTTGCACATTTTGGTGATATTTCATACGTTTCGAAAATTGGTGAAATGTTGGAGGGATCGTGCAGAGTGCCCACTGACCGTAACTCAATCTGTTACAGGAAGCAGAGCCATTAGGTCAGCTGACTAATACTTATGGAATGTGCATACCTCCGATATGCAAGACTGCGATAGATTATTAATTAGCCAAATTTATATATGTCGGCAGTCTTAATATTCGATTGGTTCGGTTAATTATTTTTTACATTTTGTCAAAGGAATACACTTTTAACTAAATAAGAAATATATCGCGTTCTAAATGTGGGCAAATTTGGAAGTTTCTATAGGAGTCGGCAACAAAAGCTGTGGAAAAATAAATAGCAGGTTCTCGATCGCTTTTTTTTAGAGGAACTCAATGGTGAAAACAACAATATCACCATTTTCCTGAAGATTTCGATTAATGTGTGGGTATTTTTTGCATTGGTATAATAAGGTTTTCGTAAGCTTGTTTGAATGCTTTATGCACAATAATAGCAATTCTGATTTTGATTTTAGCTGATACTCAGAGATAGACAAGTCCCGAAAAATTTGTATTATATTACCGAAACTCTTCTAGTTTTATTTAGTCGTTTTGTTGTAATACTACTATTTAAGTAAAACAATAAGTAAAAAAGTCGTAGTACAGTTTGGGCTCATCATCAAAAAATGTCTAAAATAAAATATTTGAAGTGTCGAGAGAATAACTAATCAAGGGGTAAATTTGAGTCCTACACACTTACATGCAATATAAAAACCGTAAACTAATAGAAGGGAGTAAAATGCATAAGTGCTAGTAGTCAGGGCGTCGCGTCACCAAAACTACCCGTTTCAGGAACACGTCGTTTAACTCAATACCTACTTCAAAAGACACTTGAACCATGCTCTAGCAGGAACCCTTGTCTTCGGTAATAAATTAATAGAAAAGTGTTCGCAAGGCCGATCGTTACCATCAGTAAAAATCATGACTTTTGAATAGGATTGAGAAAAAACATGTGCATCTTAAACTGAAGTTCCTCTTATTCTAAAAAATATCATAAAATTGTTCCCTATAAATATTTACTGGCTCTAACACAGGGGTTCAAAGGAAATAATTGTAACGTGGTATGTAGAATCATCTGGGTTAAAACTCTAAATGCTAAATGTTTCGAAGAGACTTAATTAAATTTAACTGTGTTAAGTTAGAGTGTTTTGAGTTCTCGTGTGGTGGGCGAAAATACCCTGAAAAGAAGAAATGCCGAGTTCTCATTAGTAACAACGACAGTATGACGTGATACCACAATAAAGGAACAACTTAATACGATTCGGGACTAACAGAAAGGCGCAATGATCCTCTGGTCGGAACCTCAAATCGCTTCGAATTCTTGGCCAGAAGTCAGTAAATCCAAGAGGGATAAACTAGGAAATAGGAAATTTTTGTTTATTTATCCGATCGCAGCGTGGTTAATA